CGTCATGGTACGTATCTTGCTATATCATCAATCATCTATACTCACTGCGGGTACAGTCGTCGTTCGGTTTCGGCCAGGTTGGTGGCATGGCGATGGTTGTCCACCCGCGTTACCTCTTCGCCGCTGTTCAGCCTGCGGCCTACACCGCGTACAAGGTCCGCAACGCCGCGCGCTACCAGAAGTCGTACAAGGCGATGTCGGAAATGATGATCACGAACTCGCTCGTGCGCATCAAGGATGGCACACCCTATTCGGCTGAGCTCGAACGCCCTGTCCTGCTCAACTCTCTTGCGCGCGCCAGCTTCGATAAGAAGACCAACAGCTACACGTACGCCAAGAAACAGCCGAACTCATTCGCGCAGGACCGCTCCAACGTCAAGGCCATTGAGAGCGTCCTTTCCTCGTCGTCTTCGACTGCTGGTGTCGGTGTTGATCAGGGTATGGTATCACTACTTGAATCACCCATCATTGTGCTCACACGATTGTACAGAGTTGATCTCGTCCGTGCCGTCATCGAACCCCACGTTCGTTGAGCGCAACTTCACGGAGGCTGAGATCGCCTACTGCCGCGCGCAGCCCTCGCCCGCATCGTCGTTTGCTGCACGCTGGGTCGGCAAGGAGGCCGTCTTCAAGGCTCTCGGTGTCGCATCAAAGGGTGCTGCTGCCGCCATGAAGGACATCGAGATCCTCAATGACGCGTCTGGCGCACCCCAGGTCAACCTCCTCGGCGACGCCAAGGCTGCTGCCACCGGCAAGGGCATTACAAAGATCCATGTCTCGCTGAGCCATTCTGACGTACGTCCGCTCGCTATAACCGCTATACGATCCACTGCTCACTGCTATCATAGACTGTTGCCATCGCGTTTGCTCAGGCTTCGACCGCATAAGCGCCACTGAGATTTACGATACTCGACTGCTATTTTCTCTTGCCCACATTCTGCATACATCACGTCCACCTACTCCCGCTACTACTCTGCTCGCATCGTCTCACGATTTCTATCCATTGCTTGTATCACGGAAAATATGTACCATACTCTACTACCTCACGCTGACTCCTTAATGACTAGATTTCTCTGCGCATCCACGACCATGAACGAGTTCGATGAGTGCGCGTGTCACGCATAACGCAAGAGGCCTTCCGTGATATATTCGACGTTTGAATCGCACATAGAGGGGGATATTTCTGGTATAGCCTGTATAAGATACACACCAACGTACAGCAGTGGTAGATGGGCAGAGACACAGCTAGCTTCAGACCCGGTATAGTCCGTGTCGAGTTATGTAGTCTGCGATTCTCTCCGTCACCAATATCTTCCACTTTTGATCATCTTCTTTGACGTGCTTGCGAACCTCGCTTGAGCTGTAACGGGCAAGATCATCGCCAATATCTACGAGAGAGACGCGCCCAGGACTTGCGACCTCCTCGGCGGTCTTTATCAAATTTTGCTCCTTCTCCTCGCTCACTATCGTATCTCCTGCCATCAAGCGCCGCGCGCAAACGACGGACGCGTTATCTCCGTCGAGAGCAAAGAATCGAGTAAGTGCTGCGTGCATCGCGTCGGGAGATCCGTAGTAACGATGCGCGAGCAACCGTTCGAGCGTATCGAGGCCGAGCAAGAATACTAGCCCGGGGTTTTCGGACGTCTTGGTACCGTGAAGGGTTGCGTATGCCTCCCGTAGGATTCCCGCCTTGCCAACGAAAGTCGGAGCGTCTACAAGGCCCACGGCCGCATCCGCATCCTCCGCGATCAGGCGCATCATAGCCAGCCTTTGCGCGTAGGTAGCATCCCCCGGGGCAAGTGCTTTGTCAGCATTGCGTACGCTCAGCAGTAGAAGACGAGCGCCGGCAGCTTCCCCTGCCGCAGAGGCAAGCGCGAGATGTGCTCGAGTGGGAGGGTTGAAGGACGAATCGAGAATAGCAAGCGCGGGCGGGCCAGTGATTGATTGTGGCGACGAGCGAGGCCAGGATGGCGATGGGCGGTATACAAGCTCAAAGGCCGATGCACCAGACTGCACGCGTTTGATCAGCATTTCATCGGCAGCTAACTGCTCGTCGTCAGCCGTAGCGGGCATGACGGTGGGAAGCAACGGTTCCGTCTCCGCGCCAACGCCGAGCAACAACGAGCAACGTGCTCCGGTACCACCACGAGATCCCACCTTTGCACGATGAACGTCATTGTACCCACCCCTCGAGGCTTCTTGAACCCACACTCAAGCTCGGAGTGTACTACTGACTGCATATGCATATTCGATGACAAGTGTAATGCCAGACAAGTCACAAGTGGCTTAATTGTCCGATTCCTCCCCGGCTGCGGATGTTCACGCCGCCTTAGTTGTTGTCCCACCATGCGCTCTATGTTCTTACTTCTTGTCGCTCAGACATCTTGTGTTTCAGTCCGCCTATAGAGCCAGTATTGGGCGTGGAGGCCTTGACGCAACTCCGGGTTTGACGACCCTCCTCCTCTGAGTTGCTGCTTCATGCTATCATAGAAGACTACATGTTACACCCGAGTTATCGATATGGTGGCGCTCACGCTTGCGGGGCTTTCTTTATGCGGTACCCACACGGGCCTTCGGGGCTCCGCTCTGAACACTCCGTACCTCAGTGAGTATAGACGTTGTCCAGGTCAGTAAACTTACACAACTACCCACTGTTACCCGGCCTGATCTGCTCTGTTGCACAGGTACCGACGTGCTATATATACCTATAGTTCCCCGTTCGAGGAAACCACGACCTCTGTCGGTCAGCTATGTCGTCAGAAGCAGTACCTAACGCGCCTGGTGCCAAGTTCAGAGTCGCCGTCGTGTAAGCCCCCCTTTCGTAACTCCAGTTCAATACGTCTTCAACACTCCGACAGCGGCGGGGGACCTGGTGGTATGGCGCTCGCAATGGCAATCAGCAAGTTCAATAACCCTGCAGCACCTGTGGTCGTGGACGTGTACGAAAGCCAGCCGGCGATCGGTACCGTCGGTGCTGGGATCAGCGTCTGGCCTCGTACACGGGCATTACTTCAACATCTTGGCCTTATGAGACACTTTCAGGGTGAGCTGAATGCTCAGAACGCGCAGAACGTGGGCGAGAATGTTGGCCGAGGTGCGTCCATCGTTACTCAGTAGTACTCAGAGTACGGCCGGTTACTCAACCTCGTGCAGGTTTCTTGTACTCCAAGTCAGATCAGCCGCATGGCTATCCTCTTTACCATATGCCAATGTCATGTGAGTCTCCTTCAGTCTCTACGCGGACAGGAGAGTTGAACGTGGGCTTTCTAGGTAACCCGATGCTACTTCACCGGTCAGACTTCCTCCGCGCATTACAGAGTGACATTACAACGCCACCACTATGCAATATACACACATCGAAGCGCTTAGTGGCTCTCACGCAGGACGCTGCGGGGGAAGTAGTAACGATGCGCTTCGCAGATGGCGCTACAGCGCAAGCGGACGCCGTGATCGGCGCAGATGGTGTGCGCTCGGTGGTGCGAGCTAACATGCTGTCCGACGAGGAGCGCATTGAGCCGGAATGGCCAGGGGTCATTGCATATAGAACTCTGGTGCCGAAGGAGGTTCTTGAAGCAAAAGGGTTCCCTAGTGATCACGATGTGAGGACACTGGCGCATGCAGTACGTGTCCACTTACATCATTGCGCGCACGATTCTCACGAGTCACTCGATAGTACTGTGGGAAAGGTCGGCATCTTGTCACGTACCCCATCTCTCGCGGAGATTTTGTCAACGTGGTAGCGTTCGTCTCCCATGCGGACCATTCTGAGCGATTTGAAGGGAAATGGGTGCGGGACGTGTCTGTCGAAGAAGTGCGAGACGCCTACAAGGGTTGGGAGCCCGACGTCGAGAAGTTCCTACAAGTCAGTCGTCTCGGTACTCACGCACCGGATGTATCTCTTATGCTAGGGCTAGTGCATCGAAACAGCGTCTGCGTGGGCCATTCATATCGTTAGAGATATTCCGCGCGCATCGCGTGGAAGAATAGCGGTGCTCGGCGATGCGGTGAGTGTCCAAGTGTGGCCATCGTTCATCTGCCTGAGAATGACATGACACTCAGATGCATGCTTTTGAGCCTCATTTTGGTGCAGGGGCTGGCCAGGCCATGGAGGACGCCTATATCCTTGCTCGTCTGCTCACTCATCGTTTGACCACGCGAGCGTCGCTTCCCCTTGCGCTAGACGCGTACAACCAGTCGCGACTTGCTTTCTCGACGCATATCGTACGCAGGACCAGACTTTGCGATCAGCTGTACGAATTTAGCGAGGGTCCGTTGCCTTCTGGCCCAGAAGACAAGGACGGCATAGAGAAGTGGTCCAGCGAGGTGCACAAACTGTGGGAATTCCAGTTAGATGAACACGGCGCAGATGACTTCTGGCGGGACGCCGAGATATTCTTGCAGGGGCGCATGGGGGAATCCATGGTTAGAGCTTCACTGTAGCCCGGCTAGTGTATAGTGTAAGTCGTGGTACTCTTCATAGCTGGACCTCTAGATATCCCAAGGATAAGATGTACATAAGCGGCATCATTAGTTTGATAACCCGTTATCATATTGGATTCACCCCAAAACAATGATCCTGCTTTCAACTCCGGGCGGGTCTGCCTTCAGCGCCCACCATCACAGCGGCGGTGCTCGCGTGTCAACCATATTCGTTCGCCAATGCTTCCTACACTCTGTGGCAATACTTGACGTGCATAGTGCAAGCTGAGGTTGAGTTCTCATGTGTGCTTCTCGAACTTTATAAGCATCGCGCGCCTGTATGCTATGCATCCAACGAACCATGCCTTATCGTCAAGCCGAGAGTGTGTACTCAGGCCCTCTCTGCCACAGTCAACTGACCTCCGCGGTCTCTGGTACTACACACGCTTCGCGACCCTTCATGGCGACCCTATATAAAACCCACCTCAAGCAAACGCTCACCATGTACTAGTCGCCCTGCAACGGCATGTCTGACCGGCACACAGTTACTACGGGTCTTCCTAAGGCCAAGTTTCGGGTTGCTATCATGTATGCTACAGAGCTCTTGTGAAATTCGCTTTTGACAACATTCACTGATTGCACTCCAGAGGTGGCGGCCCTGGCGGAATAGCACTCGCGGCGTCTCTCTCCAAGTTCAACGACCCGGAACACCCAGTCGTCGTCGATCTATACGAGTCCCAGCCAGAGATTGCTACCGTGGGCGCCGGAATAACAATATGGCCTCGCACGCGTGCCTTACTAAACGAGCTCGGGATCATGCATCATTTCCAGGGCGAACTGAATGCTCAAGTACAGGCTGGTCAAGGAGGAAAGGGTACGCTCTGTCCAATTTATGTCTAGCAATATAACTGATGAACTTACTGGGTATAGGCGTGATGCTTCGGAAATCTGACGATACGCACGGCTACCCAATTTACCACATGCCGACACCCGGTAAGCCCCAGCTTCTAAACTCATCACAAGCTTAGGAGCACTCATAGCCGCTCTAGCCAATCCTATGATGCTTCACCGGTCCGACTTCCTTCGTGCGATACAGAATGAGGTCCCTCCACCCCCTCAATGCACGATACACACTTCGAAGCGCCTGGCATCCCTGAAGCAGAATAATACCGACGGCACGGTGACACTGACATTCTCGGACAACAGCACCTCCACGGCGGACGTAGTCGTGGGTGCAGATGGCATACGCTCCGTCGTGCGGAATTACGTGCTATCCGAAGGCGAACATACAGAGCCCTCCTGGCCCGGCGTCATCGCGTATCGAGCTATGGTTCCTAGTAGCGTACTTCAAGCGCACAACATTGGCGAGCATCATCCTGTTAGGAAGCTAGCCCACATAGTATGTGCTGTGCCATTACTACCCCAGGTTGAACTTAACGCGCCATTCGCCTTTCACAGTATTGTGGCGTAGGCAAACATTTCGTAACATATCCCATTAGGCGGGGAGCACTCATCAACGTGGTGGCCTTTGTAACACTGCCGGACAGCGATGGCAAACACTTCGATGGAAAATGGGTGCGCGACGTTCCGGTCGATGAAGTCCGCAAAGCTTTCAGTGGCTGGGAGCCCGATGTTGAGAAGGTGCTTGAGGTAAGTAGTCTAAAACTCCCCTTTGCCGGATCGTATCACTCACGAGAACGACAGTGCATCGAGACGCCATCAGCATGGGCCGTTCACATAATCTCCGACGTACCTAGATGCGCCGCTGGGAGGGTGGCAATCCTGGGTGACGCAGTATGCTCATTTTGACATCGTTACCAGCAGTGACGTAACGCGACTCACAGATGCATGCAACGCGTCCCCACTTCGGCGCAGGCGCAGGGCAGGCAATGGAAGACGCGTATGTCCTCGCCCGTCTCCTCACCCATCCCTTGAGCACGCGCTCCACGCTACCTCAAGCTCTGCGTACCTACAATTGGTCGCGACTCGACTTCTCAATAGATCTCGTACACAAGACCAACCAGGCCGGTAGTCTATATGAGTTCACTGGCGTTCCGTTACCCTCCGGGCCCGACGATAGCAAAACTCTGGAGAGATGGAGGCAAGACGTTTATGGCCTATGGCATTTCCAATTCGACGAGCATGGCGCTGAGGATTTCTGGAGAGATGCAGAGGCACACTTGAAGAGCCTACATCAGATCAAGCGGGCAGCTCTATAGACGTAACAAGACTGTAAACGCAAATGATGTTCGAGACTTCCAGCATGGGTCCAGTTGTTTGCCTGCACTGCAAATGCTCGAGATCTCGGCCGAGCGGCGCTCGGAGCGAAGCTTACGGCCTGTGAGACCGCGAAGTTTATACACAGCGGACAAGGTTGAAGGGTTACAACGATGGCCCTGAACGCGCGCCTGAACGCTGTCATGTACGTCGTGGCGCTTGCTTACGAATATCTCACACTGATTTGTACAAAACACTCCTATTTGCCGCCCTCGGCGCGCTGCGGGTGTTCGACTTCCTCGCGCCTATGCATATGCTCATGCGGATGAATTGTAGCGCTCCCTGAGTCGTTTCAGTGGTAGTGTATCATCCATCTTGCACGAGGAAAATATTCGTGATACATGCTCACTTTCCAACTGTCTAACGCACACAATGGATACCATCCAACGAGAAAACATTGGTTCGTCGAGAGTTAACGAACGTGTTTCGTGGGGACCGACGCAATAGCTATGTGTCCGATACAGTAAGCGTACTCGGGAGCGGTGCGAGCGCGCAGATTAGCACCCATCAGGCTTTGAAAGCAGAGGGCTTCTGCCCGACAGTGATCTACCTGAACGGAACGGGAACGAGGCAGCGTCTTGGCCTTTTCGGTCTCATGCGCGTTTACGGTGCGCGAGGCACTGCGGGTGACTATTCGTTCCGTTGATACAACAATCCCTTTCAAGGGATGAAGGTCGACCCTCGGAATACATCGCCCGACTGCGACAGTGGAGACATAAAGCGGTCGTGCAGACGAAGCTGTAGCGCTCTCAACCTTCATTCTACCCGCATTTACCCATGTCGCCACAGGTTAGCTCATCCGCGAGGACCAAGTTCCACGTTGCCATTGTGTACGGTCTTCTCGCTGCACTCGCCATGTACAACGCCTGACGCCTTGCTAGCGGTGCAGGCCCTGGTGGCCTAACCCTCGCAGTAGCTCTCTCAAAATTCAGCGACCCCCAGTGTCCTGTCATTGTCGATCTCTATGAGTCTCAGCCGGAGATCGGCACCGTCGGCGCTGGACTCAGCGTCTGGCCACGGACACGGCCGCCTCTCACGGAGCTTGGACTCATGCAACACCTTCAGGGAGAGCTGAATGCCGAGATTGAAGAGGGTAAAGTGGGCAAAGGTAAGCTGCCGTCTTGCTATATGTATGCATTACGTTCAATATCACCGTAGGCTTCTTGTACAGGAAGTCTGACGAACCGGAAGGCTATCCAATGTATCAGATGCACTCGGCTTGTAAGAAATCAGCTCACACTACGAGTAAGGATACTAAACATCCGCTTCAGCGAACCCATTATTGGTGCATCGCTCCACGTTCATTCACGCCATCGAGAAGGAGCTGCCCTCGGCACCGCTCTGCAACTTCCATCCGTGCAAGCGCCTATATTCTCTATCCCAGAATGAGGAGGACGGGCTGGTCACGCTGTCATTCGCAGATGGAACGACAGCGACAGCCGATGTCGTGATCGGCGCGGACGGCATCCGGTCCGTGGTGCGCGCTAACATGCTCACTGACGAAGAACGCGTTGAGCCGAAGTGGTCGGGCGTCACCGCGTACCGAGCCTTGGTGACACGAGAAGCGCTGGTAGCCAAGGGTATGGGGGATCATCCAATGCAGGCCGAGCCGCAGATGGTAAGCCCGGTTCCATGTACGCGCTTAGCCTATGCTGACTTCACCATCGCTTGTAGCATTGTGGTAAAGGTAGACACATCGTCTCCTATCCCGTCTCTCGTGGCGAATGCGTCAACACGGTGGCGTTGGTCACCAGCGCAAACTATGGCAAGTTTGAAGGTAGATGGGTGCGCGACGCCCCAGTGGAGGAGATGCGTGCAGCTTTCGCAGGCTGGGAGCCCGAAGTAGAAAGATATTTGGAGGTGCGCAAATGCTGGAGACACGACTATCTTGGCCTGTGCTAACAAGCGCAATCAGTGTGTCGAAGAATGCCAAGCTTGGGCGCTACACGTAGTGCTAGATCTGCCACGCTGCGCAGCTGGAAGAGTAGCGATCCTGGGTGATGCGGTATGAGCTGTGGTATAAGGCGTGTGGCAGTTACTCACAAAGGCTAGATGCATGCGATGGAGACTAATGTCGGCGCTGGTGCCGGGCAGGCCATCGAGTCCGCGTACATCCTTGCGCGCTTGTTGACGCAGCCGTCTGTATCGCGCTCGACGATACCCCAAGCTCTACAAGGTGCGTTCAGAGGTCAGCGCCTAGTTGTCGCTGCTAAGATCTTGAACCTCAGCATACAACAAGTCTCGTCTCTCTTTCACCATGGATGTTGTCCGCCAGACACATTACGCCGGCAGGCTGTTCGAGTTCAACGAGGGCCCGTTGCCATTCGAGCCTTCGGATAAGGCATGGCAAGAGAAGTGGGGCAAGGAAGTGTCACATATGTGGGATTTCCAGATGCACACGGGCGAGGCGGAGAAGTGTTGGAAAGAGACAGAGGGTTACCTGCGCGATAACTTGGCCGAGTTAGAGATTTGAGGGAGTAATCAGCGTGTCGAGTAGGGCGACTGAGACGATGGCCTCAATGCTATCATGATTGCTTTCATGTTTTGTGCACACTGTTGACTCAAATAAGAAGCATATAATTCAGACAGGATAATGTGAGAAGCCAGGGTAAGGCATACACGAGATAAACAGCATGCCCGCGCGCATTCACATTCCCTTGTAGTTGACACGCTTGTGCTTCACCTGCGCCGTTATCTCCTCATCGCCACTAGCCAGTGCATCATCGTCGTGCTCATCCTCATTTTCGTCATCATCTTCCGAGCTCGAGCCCTCGTCGTCCTTGACAGGCGCATCGGGAATGTAGTCGTCGTCGTCGTCCTCATCATCCTCCGCGTGAATGGCATGGATGGTGCCGGCGCGCGCCCCCACGGCTGCAGCACCAGACCCCGACGCCACGGGTCCATGAGAGTCCGGATTATCATCCATCATTGCATCCGCGTCAGAAGCAGATTCTGGAACACCCTGAGCAATGGATGGCGCCTGCTGCTCGCCGTCGCCCATCTCTACATCCTATAACGTCCGAAAGTCAGTGCTCATCGTTCGCCATAGCGTGCAGAGGGTATGGCTCACCTCAGAGGGGTTGTGGCTCATCGTGGATTGTGGCGATCAAGATAAACGTCAGCGAGAGGTGGAGGTTCTCGACGAGTAGGGTACCACGACGGTTGGGTAGAAAGGGCGTTTATCGTTCCATTGAACCCCCACTAGCCTTTATACACCAGTCATGGTTTGTCCTTGTTTGCTTGAAAGCCGTAGTCAGGTGACGAATCCAAGAGGAGCCTTTAGACGATGAGCGGAAGCGAGATGGTGGTAGAGAACCAAGACGCGGTGGGTGTGTGCGGCTGTTGATATACAGCCCACGTGCGTGTCGGCCGTGCCATCGCTCGAAACGGGCTCTTCACTCGCCGGTGAACTTCGTAAGACAGAGCCACCGGTTGATACAAAGGAATCTCATCGATCACGGCGAGCTTGCAGGGAACTAGGAGAACGCAGTGAATTTCTGGGGGTATCGAAACGGAAACGCGATCACATGAGTTGGATGGACGCCGGCGACTATGTGCGTTTACGCGCAACAAATCATACCCGAAAGGGGCACGCACTATGTCTGATGAAATTAGGGTGTAGAAGGAATATGAACAAAGGGTCGACAGATGTAGGTAGATCAAGTCCATTCAAGAGTCCGCGGAGCAACCCCACGCGTTTTCCTTCAAGTTCAAGCTATTCGAACTGAGGATCATCAAAGCCGGCGTTAGTCATCTCCTCCTCCAGCAACCTCCGTTATTCTGAACACAACATTGACAACGAGCGCGAGCAGCAGGATTGCGCACAGCACCGTCGGGCCCCACTTGTCGTAGTACATCCCGCTCGCGGCGCGCATGCGAATGCGACGTGCGCGGTACACGAATACGCCCGCACTGTACGCGATGCTCGCGAGTGCGGCTAGCGTGAAGAAGGCAGCGCTGACGAGCCCGCGGGTATCATCTGCCGGTACGAAGTTGAGCAACGTTGTGGCGACTGTTCCGACGTAGATTGAGAAGTGTAGCCATTTCTGTCAAGCATCTGTCAGCTCCCATTGCTCTCAGAGTTGAACACGTAGAAGCACGTACCAGGAATGTCCGCTCAGTTGCAAAGTAGACCTTCGGCTCAATGCGTATAGGGACCGCGATCCGCTTCCCGGCCGGCGCCCTCCAGTCCCTGACGAGTATCCGCTCGTCATCCCCGCGCGGTGCACCCTCAAGCGCACGAACAGCCTCGCTCTCATCCGCATCACTATCGTCGTCATTTGGCCGCGTCTCCTCATCATGCTCATGGGAATCCGTTTCAGACCCGCCATTAGGTTTGCCGCTCAAGCGCCTCTTGAACGCAGCATCAAAGATGGAAGCAGGTGCGAGCGGGTCAATGGCCAGGGCGCGCCGGCCAAGCGTTCCATTGGCAGGCCGCGACGCGGTGGCGTGCGCAACGCCATTGCCGTTGCCGTTCACATGTGCCGCGTCGGGTACGTCGCTGTCCTGCACCTGGCCCTCGGGGATGGCGAGACGGACGTGCTGGGATTGGCTCTTGTCCCTGCGCGTGCCACGTACGCTGCTGCTACGACTGCTCGCAGCCAGCATCTTTTCCCGGAATGCAGCTGCCTCGGCGGCGTCAGTATCTGAGAGGCGTGCGACAAGGCCTTGGTCGCGCGCCGGAAGCAGGGCGGCTTCCTCGCTCTCGTCCTCATCTTCAGATAGCGGTTCGGTGTAGCCTGGTTCATCGGGTGTATGGGCGTCAGAGCCAGACGCGGGTGTGTGTGCACCGGAACCGATGCGAGAGGAACGGGCAGAGGCGTCGTGCTTCGGGCGGTCCAGGCGCATCAAACCGGTGTCGGGTTTGAGAATGTCAACATCCACTGCGAGGATGTTAGCGGGGTCAAAAATGATAATGGGCGGATAGCGTACTTTGAGGTAGCCAGAAAGGTATCAAGTCGACACGGTGGGGTAGCAATGTCGCACAGCCATGGATGAACTTCGAGAACTTAGGCACCGCTTCGACAAGATGCGAGTTGACAAGGTCAAGGACCCAGCGCGGAGGCTCCTGCCCGAACTGCGTTTGCAACTTGACCTCGAGAACTCCGTATCTGCAGGGAAGAGGATGAGAATTGGCGGACAATGAGCATCCGACATGGACGTACGGGAAGAGTTCCTTGTCTTCTGGCGGTAGTTGGACGAACGGATGGTCGATACCGATGTCCGTCCTTCTCCAGTTCTCGCCTGAGCGCTGGCGGCCATCCCAATTATCCTCGCGAACCATCGTGAGCTCCGTATCCAAGGAGATGCGCACTCGAGCGTCACCAGGTAGCTGGAATGCTGTGCGGTTGTAGAAAGTGCGCATAACGGGCTGGAGTTGCTTGGTAATGATAGCATACTGGACTTCGTTCGCGAGCTGGATCATGTTCTCGACTTCCTGAACCGTTTTCTTGCCCTTATCCACCAGCGCGCGAAACTCGGGCTCCATATCGTACTCGCCGCGGAGGAATGCGTTAACCTTGTCCTCGGCGATAGGGAAACGGGCTTTGACGCTCTTCTCGCCTGTCCAGTCTTCGCGATGTGTTTTGCGCTCGACGAATATCTGGCGATTGTCAACGTCGCCGTACCAACGTAAGCGGACAGCCTGCGCGCCCTCGGTCTTCTCCAACCGTCCAAGGTATAGCTCGAGGTCCTCGTTGTCGAAGTAGATAGAGGTGATGGCTGCATCCTTCTCCTCAAACTCTTTGTTCGCGTCGAATACGAGTACGGGTAGGTGGCGCAGAATAGCAAGCTTGAGCTGTACAAGGTTGTCCGGGTGTACCCAGTACTTGGTGGTCTGTCGCACAAACGCGCTTTGGGAGCCGCCCGCAGAGGAGTCGCCGGCAACTGGATGCCCACGCGTGCGCACGAGATCGTAGGACCGGCTGAGTTTGATGATGAGCGCATCCCAATTGTACTTATGGAATGGTCTGCGCTCGAGGTATCGCTGATTGAACGTAAGCTTCAACTTCCGCCCAGTCTTCTTGTCGTGTTTCTGCCAAGCGCAAGTCAGACCCAAGAGTGCGGTATATCATTCGAAGAGTGAACATACCTTCAAGATCTTCATGAAACCCGTGAAGTTGAGCTTCGAGAAGAGCGCGAGGTCATGGACGTCCGCTACCAGTTCGGCTACTTCTTCCTCCAGCACGACGAACTGCTCGTCGCGGTCAACGCTAGCGTCGTCTTCAGACGAGAGCGCGCCGTGGCCCTCATCGTCTGACTCATCCTCGTCGTCTGAACCGGCGTCCGGGTGATTATCCTCGACAAATTGCTGTTCTGGATCGCCCGAAGGATCTTGACTATGACTGTGGCGAAGGTGGGCTTGCTCGTCGGCAACTAGACGCTTGACAGCCTTCTCGGTGTTCCTGATGCGGGTCGCAAGCTCGGCGGTCTTTTGGCGCCACAAGTAGTCATTAGCGTGTGTACACCGGCGGTGAAGATACTCCGCGCACCTTACTCCGTTGAAAGTCGTTGACCTTGTCGAGCTCGAGCTCAAGCAGCCTGGTAAAGTCCTCTTCGTCCTGGTCATCCCAGTTGCGAGAGGTGGTGCGTGCCTGCAAAACGGATGCTATTATCAGAACTTCTAATCGGACGCGCAACTCGAACACGATGCAAGCCGCAAATATAGATGATCGACGAGGCTCGAATAGCCGGAGAAACGGTTACAACAAGTGTACACCGGCGCCCATGTCACTCATGGCTAGCGTGGTAGAATATGGCGTGAGGCATTCTAATAGACGCTCGCCGCCCGGGAGCGCTGTGCGAGAAGCGGCACGCGACCACTTGTGCATGCATGCAGACGCCATGTAGAGCTTGTCAGAGACCATAGTAGGGATGTGAACATACCTTCAGTTCGTGTTTGAGCTTTGTGTAGTCAATATAGAAGGGGCGCCATTCGGAGTAGAGGTCTTGCTGTTTTCGGCCGAGGGCGGCATGGTGAGCAAGGGACAACCCGGATGTCGCGCGCGGGCGGGAGCCGAATACGCACATTGATCTTGCGCCCGAACTTCATTCGGACTGCGAGCTGTGTCGGGTACCGCGAGGAGGAGGAGGAAGAGGAGGTGGCGGTCGAAGAGATAGAGGTGGCTTGAGCTGTTTGCACCGCGCGCCGACGCAATTGCTTTCACTGGTCTCTGCGGCGACGAATAATCAGCTTGCGCTCATGCACGTTCGTCGGATGGCCCGGCGCGAGCTCGTGCCCAAAGCCTCCAGGCCTTCCTTGGCGCAAGCTTCTACGCGCCATCACACCAAATACACAGTTCACGACACCGTGGGCGCCACAGCGGCCCCGCGGAAGGCCGGCGGTTCTTCTGACAGATGTGCGGGAAACGTGATAGTTCAAGTCGAACATCAAGGACGTCATACCCCGCGGCGACGCGCGACGACGACCGTCATGACATTGGACGACTCGAACATACAGCGGTCCAAGATCCTCCTGCTCGGCCAGCGAAGGTGCACAAAACTATAGCTATCTATGTCACAATACCGAAGAGGAATGTACTCCCAGGAGCGGAAAAACTTCCATCCACCGTGTCCTGTTCGACGATGCCGTTCCAAAGGAGACCTTCTACCTCGAGCCCACCACTCGAATCGAGAAGCACATCTACGAGTTCGCCGTCCACCCTGTTTCCACTCGCGCTATCTTTACTGAATTGAATGATACAGTACAATAATTCCGCTGGAAATATGGGACTGTCCTGGCAACACTACGCCGGATACGCTGTCCGCTCCGCTCAGCGACTTTGACGCCGTCATCTACGTGATCGACATGACCGTGCGTGGTTCCGCGTGCTGCGTACCTCGACCGTGCGCTGACGTTTCATAATCTTCTTCGACAGGATCAACAATACCAGAAATCCATCGAGCAGCTCGTCCGGTTTGCGCAGGCGGCGTACACGGCTGCGGCGGAGAGCATCATCTTCGAGGTCTTCGTGCACAAGACCGACTCGTATTCGGAGGACTATCGATTTGGTGAGCACTTCTCCCGGCTGTGGACCCTGCTCTCACCGGGCCCATATTACGCCCATGGAGGCCGCCGTGGATTGGCGCTGGACGCCTCCTATCTGCTTCTGGGCCCTCTACTGAACGAGTGACCCTGCATCTGTATGGCTCTCATAACAACTAAGAAGCAACGCCCTGCTGAGTGTGACCTTTCTTCCTCTGAAGGAAGCGCCACAACGCTTCTGCCACTAGGGCACAGACCGATCTACGCCGCTCTCTTGCGTCTATAGCGCCCCAGTGCCGAGCGGCATCCTACCCCTTTCACATCTTTATTCATTTGCACCCATGCACCCTGCACTCAACTAATATTTGTCTATAGAGAACTTTCAACAAATCAATGCCCGGATTGAAGACGACCTTTTCGACATCTCCTTGCCCGAAACATTCGTCACATGCAAGCAGACCTCAATCTACGACCACACCTTACACTCTTCCTTCTCCACGCTGGTCCACAAGCTTATCGGCACAGTGACACTTGGCTTCGTTGAAGAACTATGCAACTCTTTCTGCGCAAACGCCCAGGCTAGTAAGGCATTCTTGTTCGATGTGAACTCAAGGCTTTATGTTGCGACGGACGCGAGCCCTGTGGATGCGGGCACTTTGGCGCTCTGCTTGGACTACATCAGGACGCTGCATAAACTCGCCCCTCTATACACGTTCGTGTCTTACGCCGATTGCTCGAAAAGACGGAAGCTGAACTTTTCTGTCTATTTTCTGCAGATCGTTGACGGCTACACCCCTACGTCTTCGACCGGATACACCTCCGCCCGCGCTTACGCCCGCACTAAGCGCCACAAGCCCCGCAGGAACAGCGACGACCACACCGGCGCGTACACCAGCAACACGAAGCCCTGCATCACCTTCCGCCGCTCTCCTCCCGGCAGTAAGCAATCTGGCGGCTTCAACGCCTTCCCTCGCATCAGCCATCTCTTCCCGCACGCCGGCCGCCAGTACACCTAGTACGCCTTCTCCACCTCCGTTCAGTCCTAGCGCGGCAATGAGCCTTGCGGGCGGCACGACGCTCACGTATCATGCCGCTGGACCTTCGCTGGCACTGCTTGCGCTGTTGCCGACAAATGTGTTGGAGAAGAGGAGGGGGTTGTTGGAGTATAACGCAGTGTTCTTCAGGGAGGGCGTCTTGGAGATCGGAGGTGTTATCAGGGAGGCGAGAAGTGGCACTGCAGATGGAAAGGATGCGAAGGCGGACGGAGGGAAGAAGAAGAAATAGGGTAGATTTGACTGTTGGAGATCCTGTAGCCCATGACACTTTACCGTGCACCGAACTGACGTCTCGTTGGGTTCATGTCATGGATACAAACACCAATCGTATCCTCTGCAGCAATACAGATACAGATACAACATCCGAAGCACGAAGAGTACACGAACTATCTACTCGTCATCCCCGCCCTCGCCATCACTACTCTCGGCATCATCAACAACACCAACAACACCCGCGCCGCTTCGCTCCCTCAACGCCCGTCCCAAGGCCGAGAGTTTCGGCGCAAACGCTTTGCGCGCGCCGGCATTGGCGCCGACGTCCCAGATTTGCAGGCGCGCTTTTGAGCCGGCGGCTGCGAGTGTAAGCGGGTCGTCGGGCGAGAAAGACGCTGAGAAGACCTTTCCCTGTGCATTGCGAGGATGATGAGCATCATATACATTCACTAGAATCGAGAGGGCGACCTACCACGCCGAGATCCCGGCTGGTGACAAGGCTAACTTCGCGCTTTCCGCCGTTGTCGAGACCAGCGACGTTCCAGACCTTGACCATCTTGTCCGTACCGCCCGTCACGATGCACCCGGGTATGTGCGGGTTGACGTCCAATGCTGAGGCAGCGCCATCATGTGCGGCGAGTGTGAAGCGGGGTGGTTGGGTGATCGAAAGGTCGTTCGCGAGGGTGCGGGTGTCGAAGTTGAGGACGATGCCGTTTTCCAAGGAGACCTACGGCGCCGGCGTTAGTGTACCACATCTAGGATGCCTGTGACGAGAATCATACGCACGTAGAAGCCGTATATATCATGCGGATCCCACCTCACAGCTTCGACATCTGCACCAAGTGTAGCTCCCTTCTGTGCCTCAGCCGTCCTTGAGTCAAAGACGCGTACAGTCCGATCATAGGAGCCCGTCAAGAGTGTCGTAGGATCTTGTGGACCGTTCCACTGCACTGCTTGCACCTTGTCCTTATGGCTGTCGTAACTCCGGATCGCTTCTCCGGCCCTCGTCAAGTCCCACAACTTGACAGTCCGATCCGCACTGGCACTCGCCAACAACTGTCTCGCGGTCTTATTCCACGATAGACCGAGAACCGCGTCGACGTGGTGCGCCGCTTCGACTGCCCGGTGCTTCGCTTTCTTCTTTTTCTTCTTGCCTGTGCCGGCGGGTACAGGAACGTGTGCGGCAGTTTTGTCCGGTCGACCAAGAACAGCGTCGGGGTAAATCGCTTCTACGACGTCCAAAGACCAGATCTCAATCTCAGGGTCCATCGTGCCGACGGCGATGTAGTTGCCAAATTGCCGAGGCGCAGGCGCATCTTCGTCCATTGCGTCGGAGGGAGGTGCAGTAGATGAAGAAGAAGCGGTGAGTGGAGGGAAGTCGAGCCATTCGAGGCAAAGGGGGAAGTTGGGGAGCATCAAGTCATGGTGGACGTAGAGGTTTTCTGAAGAGTCGTCGTAGACGTAGACTTCCAGTTGCGAGACGTCGTCTTCAGTTTTCGCTGTGGCGAGCATGTTGTCGGAGGGCAGGACTTCAAGATCTTCACGCTCGTCATCCTCTTCATCCTGACCAAGGAGCTCAGATGGGTAGATATAAGAAGTGAGAGTATGCGCACCTCTTTCAACGTGATGTAGGGATCCTCATTGTTATCACGGTAGAATGTTAGTCCTTTTCGACTACTGAACGGTCCCAACTGGCCTATTCGAAGTTAGCCATAGGAGCGGTAGTCTCATGTAGTCACATACCTGCGGCATCCTCTTCCTCATCGTAGTGGTCCAAGTTATACTCGGAAAGATCGCCCTTGGATTTCTTGCCCTTTTGTGGAGCCGCGCCGTCCTCGTCCATTGGCACGTCGTCGTCCTCGCTACCTGCCAATCAACATCCTCCACGATATTCCATTCCGCACGCGCCACTCACTCTACCCATCCACTCTCACTGTCCTCATCCCCTTCCTCCACATTATCCGTCTCCGGCTCCTGACCCATAGACTGCGCGGCCGCGTGCGCCCGCATGAGCTCCGTACGCGCATCTTCGAGTTCAATATGTGCGAGCTCTGCCACGCGCTCGAGCTCTTTGTCGTCCAGTACGTATTTGTTTGGATGTTGGGCAGAGACGCCACGTTTCACCCTGGCCATATGTTTAGCCTAGATGGAAGGCTGAGAGTGTCGCGGGCGTACCACGCGACGCAGGATATTAAACTGCTCATTATTGCAATAGGTTAGCCAGCACCAGTGCTTGTGCCAAGGCCACTAGAGTGGGTGGAAAGATCGCACTACACGGCTCGATGAGAGTAAATGGGAGAGGACAACCTCACTTCCGCAAGCGTGCACTTCAAAAAAGTTGATCGTCGGCCCGACGTTTCGCACGCGCTCGCAATGCCGAAACAAGCGCCACATCCGCAAGCTTGCTTCTCACAGCGACCACGACCTTAGAGGTGGACGACAATCGCCGCACGGATGCTATACTCGCCTTCCACTCAACTTGCATACCTTACATATCCGCGTTCATGCATCTGGCACCTTGTTCAGGACGTTCGCCGCTCAAGCGCTCCAGCTTGACTTTACGATATATACTCCTTGCCTCCCTCAGCTGGAGCTGAATATCGCACTTTGTAAGGCACGAGCGGGTGATTGCGTATCATTGTTGTATTCAACGATCATCACATTGTGTTCATAGGCCAAGACTCCGCACCGCGGAATTAGAGAAGCTGGCCGTCCGGCTGCCAACTCATGGCGGCATGTGGCTGACATGCGCTCATGAGGCCACGTTTGCGAGCTTCTGCCAGATTTGGTGAGGCAACAGCATGCCCTTGCCTCTCAACATCGTCCCATTGACACTCGCGGTCGCTTGCTTTCAGCGGAGCCCTTTCTCGAGAGACTGGACTCTTGCATAGAACGTACACATATCGCAAGTTGATCGCTGCAGTTCAATGGCGTCTCCACCCCCCTCCCACTGTGTGTGATACACATACAATCTCAAGCATTAAGACACTAATGTTCGAACCTTGCAGCACGGCGGCGCGATAATCTTATCAGAGACGGCGAGGGTGCCCTAAGGACAGTTGTCGAAGGTGTCGGTGTAGCTGCAGCTGTTACGGAGAACGTGCCCTACCTTGGCGTCATCTCAGCGATAGTCTCTGAAGTATTCAAAATTCATTCGGTGCGGGTCAATATCAGAATCACTGCATATGTCCTCAAGTGGTCATTAGGAGATCAGCTCGGCGCGCTCAAAACACCGGTTGGTGTTGGACCTCGCGCAGAAGCTCAAAAGCGTCGTTGAGAAAACGCATGATTACTACAAGAATACCGGCCCGGAAGGGTCTGAATTGTCGCTCAAAATGGCAAGCGCTTTGAAGGGCTTCGAGAGGTGAGTCTGGAACACTCAGACATGTCAGACTATTGACGATCTTCAGCTCAATCTCTGCCACTCTCGCCACCTTGACGGCCTTCAACCTCACATCGAGATCGTTTAAAGGTCGTGCGCGAGAAGTGCTCAATCGCACGGCACTCTTGAGTGCTTTGGAGGACAGTCGCGTCGGGCTGTACGATGCGGTCCATGTGTTCAATGTGAGGCTGATGTCACATGCCCTGATCTTACGCGCTTTTAACGAGTTGAAAGCTAGAGATTATGTCAATCAACATGGAGATGGTCATAGATGTGCATCATCGACTGCTACAGGGCCCCCCAAGGATCGGTGTATGTGCTGTCGTTCAGCCACCATCGTATTGCACATTGACGTGTCTTCTTCACGGGTTTAGTATGGCGGACTTTCAACTGCAAAGTGACTACTGAGCTTCTCTGAATACCTTCGGCGTTGATCATGATTCTTTTGAAGCTTGCCGAATCCACAGCCCGCTGTGTCTGCAGGACGCATGAACGTTAATGCTCTCATGAGAGAGGTTCGTCACCGCAGGAGATTTTTGAAGCCTCGAACTGATCTATGCAATCGTAGCCCTCAATCTCTCGATCTGTACTACAGCTCGACGATGTCCCCGATGCCCTGCGTATGCTGCCATCGACCTCACCCTTTACGACAGATCTTGCTGACGATCATGAAGGCCCATCACTGCAAACCTTCATGTCTGACGTAAATTCCTATTTGGATAGCATCACACGTCGGCAGTCGTGGTCAAGTCCGGCGATTATCTCGTGGGATGCGTTCAATGATACTGCCAGGAATAGTGCGAGGGACGACTCTGCGACCAGTACCCGCAATTCAACTGAGGGGTGTCACGTCCGTACGCGATGCACCGTCGAGGATAGATCACGAACGAGAGAGATGTCCCGACTGACGCCTACAGAGCCGTGCTCATCAACGCACAGTCTTGTGCAAACGAGCGGTTTGGGTGGCGTAGGCTCGAATCTGGCACGTAACGGAGGTGTCGCGTACGTCTAGCTTCCCCGTATGCCATCTCGCGATAGCTGTAAGAAACATATGTCCGCTTTAGCGAAGAGCAAGAACTGGCCGCGAACCTCAATGTCGTTCCTATTGCAGTACGTCGAGGGTTTCTCGTTGTCAATCGTCGATTCATGACTATCGTAGTCCGGAGAAGCTGTTTGGCCAGACGGCGTCGAGCGAGGAAATGGAGAGTCAACGACCACAAGGAACGTTGGACACGGCCAGACGTGTACGTGCCATGGTCCCGGTCGCAAGCCATCCGTTGGCGAGTGGCAGTGGCTGTCTCGTTGTACCAAATACGGACCCGTAAATCCCCATGAGCGCTTAGACGCCATCCCACTCGCCGTGCGTGATTCGCCAGTGCTACCGGGCGAGAACTAACAAGCACGAGTAGTTTCAAGTTGGTGGTGCTATTACCGCTGCTCGGCGACGAGATGACGGCGCGCTTGTGGTCATGAAGATTGTCAAGAAAGACGCACATCCGAACGAACTCAAAATCTTGTTATTCTTATCGGAAATCAAGGACTCGCGGAATTATAACGTACCCATACTGGACTCCTTCGATGTGCCTGTGGACCCCACGTTGACCATCACGGTGCTGCCTCTTCTGAGGAGGGCTGATGATCCGCCCTTTGAAACAGTGTGGGAAGTGGTGGAGTGCATTCGGCAACTACTTGAGGCATGTACTACTTGCCTGTAACGCTCTATGGTACACTCAATCAGTTTAACAGGGATTACAATTTATGCACGAGCACAATATCGCTCACAGGTTTGAACGTCTCTAAATTGCCATCTGGAATTGACCTTCTGAACGTGACTACAGAGATTGTTTCTGGCCTGACATCATGATGGATGCCTCGTGGATGTGCATGCGGCCATTCCACCCTGCTAACCCGGAACGCTCGGGCGACTGGAGAGGACTCGCAAAGCATATATCGCGCACGGAAACTTTCATGCGAACAGGAAAGCATGTGAAATACTTCTTCGTCGACATGGGCATCTCCAGGCATTCCGAGGGTCACGATCCCATTTGTGGAAATCTGCGCGAGCTCCCGACCGTACCAGGAGATGGATTCGTCCTCGAGCACCAAGACGCACGGAATAACACCCCCTCCGATCTTTTCGCTACCGACGTCTACTTGCTAGGCAATACGATTCGCGAGCGCTTTCTAAGGGTAAGTCTGCATGGAATCGTGTGCCTCATGCTAAGAAACGTATTCACCGCAGAATTAGGCATCAGGAAAGCTATCGTTTCTCGAGGATCTTGTCTCGCTCATGACTACAGATGATCCTCGAGCTCGCCCGAGGATCGGAGAAGTGGCTGTGCTCTTTTCACGTCTGACTTTGGAAAAGGCAGAGTTGGATTCTCCGCTTGTTTCGACTCGGAGAGTCAAGCGACGTGCTCCAGTCCCGGCGCAGACCTCGAGCCTAGTCTCATCGTCGGTGCCACCGCCAGCTATGTTCGCTACGACATCGCGGCAAGCAGTTAAGTGTCATGTTAGCGCATCAAGCGCCCCCGGAAGCAAGGCGTTACAAGGCAACCACGACGTCAAAGAACGCAAGCAGCGTAGACGAAGGATGCAAGCGGATAAGCAAACTCTTACTCCACAGGGACAGGCGAGTAGAGCAGGAAGAAGGCGAAAGCGAGAGTAAAGGCGAACGGGAAGTTGAATGTATGATGAAACACGCAAAAGCGGGAGCCAAACTCACGTATTATGGAACTTCGGTGGTTGGTGGTGCCGAGAAGCTTGCGATGCCGATGGCAGCCTCGAGTCAAGAGTCGGTACCTGTTCGTGCACGCATGGCCCTCTATTAATTGTAGGATTCAGATGAAGCGAATGTGATTTTGAGAGTCTCGATGCTGAACAATCTTTACATGTAACCCTACCAAGTTGACTCTCGAGCACTATGAGGAGCAGGTTGCCGCTGTTATCGGACAAGATTCGCCGGCAAGGCTTCGAGTCAACTTAGTGCACGTGTACACCATGGGTGTGGGCCTCGTTGCGGGTGCCGTCGACAGTATCCGCCATCCGTGCGACCTCCATACCCGTGCCCGTGAGGAGGATATGCATTTTCCACGGGTACCCCGGGTCTGCACCGCCAGTCGTATCTCTGGGTACACCTGGGGTGGAGGGCCTCCCCAGACGTACTACAGATAGCCGCACAATGCAAACAACGCTTGTAGGGCTGCTGGGTAGCGGGTAGGCCTACGCTGGTCATCGCGCAGCAGACCCGTCGCTCAGCACCCGTGCGTGACGACGGTTCAGCTCGAGGCGACCTGGCACCCGTGGGAAAGCCGTACCTGATCGCATGTGAGTTGACTGAGTCAACTCACGGGACCGCGATGGCCCAACGCGGCGCGGCTGCCCTTGTCTGCGAGTTACCACCGAACCACCGACTACCACCTGCGCGGCGATCATTATGCCTATGGAGAAGGACGCTGACGGTTTCTACACCCCTGCAGCACCAGACGCTTGTACGTGACGCTAGGCTTGAAAATTTCCATGTCATTAACGCATGCTGAAGCGAAGGACGCGAAGGATGAGCCGAAGCCAGATGAGACCAAGGGGAAAGATCGTGCGTGGAATGTTATTGATCACTCTAGACTTTGACCTAACATATCGTAGCCGAGCCGTCTGTGACGGATCTTATCAAGTCTGATTACGATGTCTTGGTTCGTTTGCAAGTGATACCACATGTAATGACGCATCTTCAACTTTGTGCAGGTCACGCTCGCGGACCAGCAACAAGACCCCAACTCCCCGCTCTTCTCGGTGAAGACATTTGAGGAGCTTGGTCTGTACGTCACTCATAATGTTGCATGATAATAAGACGACAAACGTATACTAGACACGAGGATCTGCTCAAGGGTATCTACGACATGAAGTTCACGAAACCATCCAAGATCCAGGAACGTGCGTTGCCATTATTGTTGAAGGACCCGTGCGTAAAATATCTCATGTCTCATGATCTTTATACTCACTTGTTGGTGGCAGGCCTCAGAACTTCATCGGCCAATCCCAGTCTGGGACAGGCAAGACTGCCGCCTTCGTCCTGACCATGCTCTCCCGCGTCGACTTCTCACTCCAAAAGCCCCAAGCACTATGCCTTGCACCCTCTCGCGAACTTGCGCGTCAAATCATGACGGTCGTGACGGCCATGGGCAAGTTCACGCCCGTGCAGACCGAGTTTGCGATCAAGGAGTTTTTGCCCAAGGACGCCACGAATGTCACTGCACAGATCATCGTGGGCACTCCTGGAACGATGAACGATCTTGTGAGGAGAAGGGTCATCGACACGAAGCACGTGAAGGTGTTTGTTTTGGACGAGGCGGACCAGATGTTGGATCAGGGTGGACTCGGTGACCAGACTACGCGTCTGAAGAAGTGCGTCATCGTCGGCAGAGCATGCTTGATCTAGGCTTACGATAGCTCGCAGCGGACTGAAGGGCAACAAGGACGTTCAATACGTTCTCTTCTCTGCGACATTCCCCGAACACGTCCATCGCTTTGCCCAAAACTTCGCCCCGAACGCCAACTTGATTCAGCTCAAACGTAATGAGGTTTCTGTCGACTCGATTCGCCAACTCTACATGGACTGCAAAACCGAAGACAAGAAGTACGACGTTTTGGTATCGCTCTACAAGTGCCTCACCATCGGCCAATCCATCATCTTCTGCATGTCCCGCAACACGGCCGACGAGATCGCGAGGAGGATGATCGCGGACGGGCATCATGTCGCGTCGTTGCACGGCGCCAAAGACGCGCATGAGCGTGACAACATCATCGACCGGTTCAGGGCGGGACAGGACAAGGTCCTCATTACGACAAACGTTATTGCCCGCGGAATCGATATTCCGCAGGTCAACATGGTTGTCAACTATGATCTGCCGCTTATGTTGGACCGGAGCGATGCGAGGCACAAGAGCGACGCGAAGGTGGACGTTGAGACGTATATCCATCGTATCGGTGCGTATGCTTGTTCAAAATGATTTGATCAATCCCTGACTGGCACGTGCGTAGGTCGTACGGGCCGCTTCGGACGCAAGGGTATTGCCGTCAACTTCGTGCACAACGATAAGACGTGGCGACAGGTGCAGGAGATCGAGGCTGAGACGCATAGGCCAATTCCTTGTATCAAGTCTGACGACGTCGACGAGATGGAGGAGGTAGGTCTGCCTGGTCTGTCCCCTGTACTTCGACGCTGACAAATCCCCCTTATAGTCCTTGAAGAAGTTGTTGAAGAATTAATCATGTTGTTGTGCTGCTACTCTCTGTATCATCTACCACTCGGATATCTGCCGCATACCATGCTTTGTGCCATCGCACATGTTCAGATGCTAGACTTCAAATACCACGCGACGAACGGGCAGGATGAGTACATGGTCATATATGATCAAGCAAAGGTCTATGTTTACATGTCAACATCGCTGATTGCGCAGTTATAATGGGCAGGGTATATGTTTGATAGGTATTCTAACTCATGGTGCACTGGCACTCATGTCTCCGCCCGCTCGTCCCCTTGTACTAGGCGGAATAAGCCAGGCATAGCGAGGAACTGTTGCGACAAAGACGATTCGGTCTTGGGAGGCGGCAGCGGGAGTGCGTGTGTGATCACGGGAGTCTCAAGAGCGCTCGACAACGTCGAATCCGAGTCGTCCGACCCGGGCCGGGCGAATGAGAGCGTGGACGAAGCGCACCGGAGTTTGAGGGCATTAGGCGCGCGCTTGCGCCTGGTCAGGACGGTCTTACCCGTGTATAGCGAGGGCAAGTCGTTGAAAGCGGTCACGAAGTTGTCGAGGCTGATACTGATTGAAGGAGTCCAGTCAGCTTCGATGACGCGCAGATGAGAGGGAAGAGCAAGACTGACCGATCAACAGGGTGCGGCGCGAGCGCGCGGACGATGAGCGACTGCGTCTCGGGACTGACGTCGCACGCGTGTCGAGTGAAGATAGAGCGCCGGTGTTGCAGGTAGTTGACATAGCTCTGGTCCACGAGCGATGCGCTTTTCCAGGGGCTGACACCTGTGAGGAGTTGGTAGAGAAGGCAACCCATCGCCCAGACGTCGGCGGAATTAGGAGAAGCTGTAGAGACGGAGCGTACGTGTTCGCCAAAGCACTCTGCGAGGAGACGTAAGTTGAGATTCATGTGTGGGAGTGGCGGAGGGGACTGACCAGGTGGGACGTAGGGCAACGAGCCGACCTGCTCATACGTACGCGACGTCGTTGCGAGGCCGAAGTCCGCCAGATACACCTTGGATAGGTCTTCGGACACCAAGAAGTTCTCGAGCTTGAGGTCACGGTGAACGACGCCGGCGTCATGCGTATGCTTGACCGCCTGTAGCATCTGCGCGAAAGTGGAGCGGACTTGATGTTCATTGCCCCTAAACCGATGGTATTGTTGTGTGATTGCTTCGAGCAAGTCGCCACCGTCAACATAGTCTAGCACGAGCACGACATGGTCGCCATGCTCAAGCACTCGGTGGAGAGTGATGATACCAGGGTGTTCATGCGCGCGAAGATGCGTCTCGAACTCCATGCATTGGAACTGGAATTGGCGTGCGGTAGGATCGACTTTGCGCATAAACTTGAGTGCGTAGGTCCTGTTCGCCGAGATACATTCTCCACGGAAGACGGTGGAGAAGGATCCGGCGTTAAGACGCTCGCCCACGCGAAGGTCACCGTTCGCGAGTTCGAGTCCGACGATAGTAGAAGGATCGATGCCAGCGGGATCCGTGACGTTGGTGTTGGAGACCATGTTGATGTGGATTGTGTGAGTATGTTGAATGGGGTATGATGTGTTGGCGAGAATCGAAATGTCGAGACGACCGGTGGCACCTTTATAGACGCGGAAAGTCTCGCGTAGGTCAATAGTGTCGGATAATGTGTCGAGGCTCTGTAGGTGACGGAGGGCGTCATGTCGCGGAAGGCGTAGATGCAATAGGACGGATAAGGGAGCCGTCAAGGATTTGGTTTCGGGCGCTTACAGTCTTGTGTCGGATAACGAAGGAGTATACTCCCGCCGGTGTCTGGCCCTCCGTATGAACTTCAACGCACACTCCGATTTCGCGAAGGGTGCATACAAGATGAGTGGAGCACATGGAATACCACCAGTAGAGTATCTGAGAGGAAAGATGGAATATAAGCTTCGTTGGCGAAGGCTTGACTAGAGTCAAAAGGGACGACACGATTCAGCTGGGTCCCCTGAGTAAAACCAACCCCTAGGCAGAGATTTGAGAAGCCGGCAGTGCCAAGTTCCGGAACATACTATTGCTTTGAGCGTAGCTGTACTTGACAAGTCAGAGCATGGTGCAAGATACAGCGCATAGAGAGACAACCTGCAGTCCTGCAACATGGTTGACTCAGTCCTCAAGGCCTCACCTCACGCCCAGGATGTCGAATCACACCAGCATACATCATAGAGAGAAAGCTATCCAGATACTCCCACCGAGGATAGCACGCCCCAAGTAATTGGTCTGTCGCATGTTGCGGTAACAAGGAAAGCCGGTATCGGCTATCATGGTGGCTGGGGAAAGGGAGGAAGCTGTTCGAGCGCCGCGCCGGGTCTTCACCGGCCCGAAAGTCCGAGACGCGCACAACGCCGACATAGTCCGACACGAACTTGCGTCTTACCGCCAACCAGTCATCATTGCGTCTGCTGCAACTCTGCTTTCGATTCTTGTCTCTAGAAGAGGTGCAAAAATGTAGTCCTATGGCTTGCCACCCAGAGCCATTGATCGCGCACAAAGCGACGTCGTGGCATCCCGGGCGACGACAAGAGTCGGATGCCAGACCTTCCCGCATACAGAGCTCTAACTCGTCACGGATTGCTGCGTTCTTGAATGATGTGACCCATGCGCACAAGCGGGTTCTTAGATGATAGCGATCCTTACGGTGCTATGATCTGGTCTGGAGTCGATGTATATGCCTCGACACGGTTGAGGGCGCAAACTGTGAGCTGGTACTTGCTCTTACTGGCAAGATAGGGGCAATGGTCTCACCCTACCTTCTTTGAACGCCGGTACGTATCAGCTTTCTTGGCATGGAAGTATGTATTTACAGCGAGCGTTTCGCAGGTTTGCTTGTGCTACACCAATCTCATGTCATGTTCTCACTTACTAATTGAGCCCCGTTGACAGGAGAGGATCTTTTAGCATATTGACCGTCTCTTTATCATCAGACACTGCTCACGCCATGCTATCTCATCTACCTGTCTCTTGGGAATGTAGCTCAAGACCGCAGCCGCCGACCATCGGAGACCAGAAGACCAGAAGCAGTCGAGGTCCTTCCTGGCTTTAGATATGTGCCAGCCGATCGCTCAGCAGAGAGAGAGGCAACTCTTCCTCTCTCGTGAACTGTGTCCTATGACCAGGTTCAGTTGAGAGGTGCGCCTATCATCTGATAGGGAACAGTATAATGAACTTCGCACTGCAGCAGAAAGGCAGATTCTCTCATGGGGATCATCGTTGTGGGATCAGGAATGTTCATTAAATGGCGCTGTGAGTAGCTATTGTCTCTGACTTTCCGGCGCCGATAGCCGCTCATCTGGAAATGCAGGTGCATGCGCCTGCTAACGGCTCCGTTTCAGCGCGATAAATGTGAGGTCCGGAGCGGCAGGATCTCATGCGGCAGGATTGAAGCCCCCGGTGCTCCTCCTGCATGAAACGCAGGTCACACGCGGCAGCGGTCTATATTGAAGACCAAGGGTGAGCGCTTGGACTGAACAAGAGCGCGCTGTCTCCTGCCCCCATACCACCTGCCAACGCTCCATGGTCTCCAAGACTGCATCAGCAAAGCACGACCCTGATGCTGATACTTTCAGTATCAATGAACTAGCAAAACTCTACCCGTACGAGCTGAAATGGCGAGAGCGACAGCCCGCGCTTCTCGAGAAGGGCTACCAGTTACGCCCTCGTTTCCGCCCGGGCTGGAAGCCCTCTTGGAAGAAGTGGGACTGGCTGCCGCGGTGGATCAAGTACGGACTCATGAATCCTTACGGACGCGAGGACAGTCTCCCTCTGATGGTGGGCGTCACTTCAGTCACCATCGCTCGTGGCTTACATGTCGAATAGTGGGGCGAACTCATCATGGACGCGATACGTGTCTCTGACGATGCGCCTGTGGTCATGAAGATCATCGACAAACACGCCCATCCTGAGGAGCTGAACATTGCGAGATCTTTCACACCGTTGAGAGACGATCGCAACCATTGCGTGCCCGTGTGGGACTTCTTCGATGCACCGGATGACTCTGCGCGCACCATCATTGTCATGCCATTGCTAAGGAAGTTCGACGATCCGCCCTTCGAGACGGTTGGGGAAGTCGTCGAATGTGTGCGACAGCTACTGGAGGTGCGTGGTCTCTGCTCCCCGTGGGTTGACCGTCGTTGACAAGGTAGTAGGGGTTGCAGTTTATGCATGAACACAATGTCGCACATAGGTTGCATACCTCCATGATCCGAAGCTGAGTTGCTGACTGGATACACAGAGATTGTTTCACGCCGAACATAATGATGGATGCCTCGCCTTTGTACATCAGACCCTTTCATCCCTCAAACCCGGCCAAGCGCCGCGACTGGAAAGGGCCGGTGAAGGCTATATCGCGCACGGAATACTACAACCGGACGCGAAAGCATGTGAAGTACTACTTCATCGACTTCGGTATATCCAAGCGCTATCCGGCAGGCAGTACTGCGTCGCGGGAGCTCCCGATCATCCCGGCCGATAAGTCGGTCCCCGAGCATCAGGGCGCGCTGTATCACACGCCTTCCAATCCTTTCGCGACGGACGTCTACCTGCTCGGGAATGCGATTCGAGAGCGGTTCATGAAGGTACTGTCAATCATCATATTCTGAGCTCTGCTAGCCGGTTCTGACTCTTGTGTAGCGTCCTGGCTTCGAGAAGCTGCGATTCATGGAGGCTCTAGTTTTGCAGATGACAGCGGAGAACCCTTTGGCCCGCCCAAAAATAGGCGAAGCAGTTGCCCGCTTCGCGACATTAGACCCTGGTAATCTAGATCTGTCGCTGTCCACTGCCAGCAGGGGCACGGGTGCACAGTCTGCGAGCTCCCGCATCGCGAGTCAGCCAGCCGCATTTCTATCTCCGAGACAGCCCGAAACGCTTCAAGTGGCTGGCCAACAATCTCTCGTGACCTCTGCCGTGGCTTCGACATCGCAGCATCCAGCGCAGACGTTGAAGCCTGGAAAGGATGTCCAGAAGAATAAGAAGGATAAGGGTGCAAAGGGCAAGGGTATGGGATGATGAAGGAAGGTAGCGTCCGGGGAAATGATGACAGGCGCCCGGGTCCGCCGGTCCGTGTCGCGCGGGCGCTTTCTCCTTGCATACATGAGCGCCCATTTGCTGAACACCCGCTTCTACCGAATCCCCCTCCCTTGGGCCGTAAATCGGACACTTACATACCAATACGAAAACGAGATGGTTCTGAAGGTGACGGTACACGGACTGTGACACTGTCATATTGAACCTTGGTCAACACGAAGCCACTCCTTTCTACTTACTTGGTCTCTGGCCCCGCACTTTCACACATGTATTGCCATCGATCCGAGCTGGAGTCTGCGCACTATAGACCACCCGTAAACCTGTGCGCGTTATTCATCACTGCGAACTTCCCACCTCCTGACAGCGCATATTTCTCACTATCCACTCCACAATCTTTCTGGCGCAGAGGGCCTCTGTCAGCGCACTTGCCGCATGTACTGTAGCGAGTGAAGTGCGTTATCTAGTCGTCATATGGTGTGCATCGGGGAGGGCAGAGGGCCTAAGCAGTGCCATGCCATAGATTTGGGAAATACTTCTACTGGATCGCATAAATACGTTTCTCTGTGCCCTTCAACCACTTTCCTCAACTCTCAACGCTAACGCCTCGCTTCTTCCTCCGCTTGATCTGCCTTCGCCCTTTACTACTCGCATCGTAATGGTCGAGCCTGTCATACCCCTCGTGGCAGTCAGCGTCATCTGTAACCTCGCTAGCAAGGCCATGCAGCGAGCGAAGGAGCGAAGCGCTGCGAAGCAAGAAGTGCTCGCAGAGGTTTCCCGTATTCTGAACGAGATGACGACGCTATCGCAACAGCTGCAGCAGGAGGACGGCTTGCAACAGGAGGACGTTGCTAGAGTTCAGGCTGCTATTCGACGGTGAGCGACGCGCATATATCGGCATCCCGCATGGGTACTGACTTTTACCTTGCGGCCGGCGGTAGGACGAGGATATGCCGCGCTGAGATCAAACGATGGGTGTGTCCTCTTCAGAAGGCCTATATGAAGAGGGAAGAGGCTGGCGACAACTTCTACCTTGTTCGAGTATGTGCTCTTGTCGTCGTGGTGATTGAGTTACGTCGGCATTGACGCCATGGAAGGTTATCTCTGAGCGGGTATGGGACGCGAATCGTGTTCCCAACGCCAACGTGCCATTCAGCGAGGCGGCGAACAACGCATCGGAGACGACCCTCGCACCTCAGCCCAAGGTCAAGCAAGTGCCGGTCGCATCAGTACGAGGGTACAGGGAGGCCCGTGTGAAGCACGTTATAACACGTTCGCCCGACGGTACACTGGTAGAAGAGAATGAGCTTCACGCCGACTACGATGAGGGCGACGCAGTGGAAGTTCAGGGTAGCGTACCTCTTTCGCCGACTCGTGGCAAGGCACTGAGAGCGTTTCAGGCGCGCGGAATGGGACGTTGCCGTGCATACGCATCATGCCGGACGCGATTACGCCCAAGGCCAAATGCCTTGAGCCCATGCCTGCGCGCGATAGCGAGCCTGTACCCGCATACATCCCGGACTTGAAGAGCGATAGCGGCGACGCGATGCGCAATTTTATGTCCATGACCGGTGCTGCACACGACCTGGCTCGTCAGAGTCTGGATGGCGGAGGCGAGGTCAAGGTAGAGGCAAGTATGTTCGGTACTACGGGTTCTGTTGCCGTTAGAACCGGGCTTGATCAGATGGGGCAGGATGCAACGGTTCCGAGTCGCTTGAACGTATACTTGAAGACTCGGCGGACGAATGATGCTGAGACTGCGTTGGAGGTTGTCGGCGACGGACTGGAGCTCGCGGCGGAGCTGTTGAGAGCGGTTTAAATATCTTTTCAGGATCCTGGTTCGCGTACTGCTTGGCTTGGGATCTCGCGCCCTGTATGTATAAAGTTCTCGCAGTCTTTCAGTGTCTTTGGAGGCCATGATAAATGCATGTGGTTGGTGTACGGCGACGTGTGCCAGCGTGATACGTATGTAGTCACCAGCACCTGGACCCGTCAGGTGAAGGTCAGCGCCGAAGAATTCATTCTAGCATCGGCCATCTTGCGGAATACCGAGTTTGGTACTGGCGCTGTCAAAGCCTTGACTACGCGGGAAGGCATCCGAGAACACTGAGCGCCGAAAGTCGTAAGCGGGCGTGAAAGTGCACAGCCAAAGCTCGAGGTCGGACACAGCCGAGCGTTATCTCATTACGACGTGCGCATTGTTCAAATCGCAACTGTGCTGTATGCAAGTTGTGCGTGGTTCTTGCACAGAGTTGAAGAGGCCGTGGCATTCGTTACGAAGCAGAGCATACATGTCCGATGGCAACAGGAGGCAACCCGCGGGGGCGCGGATAGCACGGAGGGATAATTGATCGGGGAAGATGTTCCCGCGGTGTTGATGAAGATGGTCTGTCGGCTCGCAACCTTGCAAGCTTCGAGCAGCCACGACGACGACGACCGCATCCAGTCGGTCGCGCCCGTCCCCACAACCGCTACGATGAGGCCTCTTACCGCATTACCCACACTCATCGCACTTTCTTTCTTTCTTTTCCTCTACTTGGCTCCCGCGCAGCAGCAACGCCACTCGCTTCACCGTCGCGTAGCCCATGCCTCTGAACTCGATTATAAGCGGGCGGGCATTCTTGGAGGCGGAGACGACGACTCGAGCACGACTACTCCGGCGTCTAGCACGACCACCTCCTCGACCACCACATCGACTACGACGACTTCGAGCGAGACCTCGTCGTCGACTACGACTACAGAGTCCTCGACGACCCAGAGCAGCACCGCGGCAACTTCCACTACGCCATCAGCCTCTGCAACTACACCCGGTAGCGCTACGACACCAGCCGCGTCAAATACTCAGCCGTCCAACTCGCCTACACCGTCTCCGTCCTCGCTTACAACTACCAACGCCGCCGGCCAAACGGTCGTTCAAATCATCTCGGACACGCCCACGGCCAGTGCCAGTGCCGCGAGTGCCACCAGCTCCAGCGCAGGCTCAAACAAGAACGATGACGACGACGACTCTGGCGTGTCAACCAGCACCATCGTTGGACTGAGCGTTGCCGGCGGCGTTGCTGTGCTGGGTATCGTCGCCTTCTTCATCTGGAAATTCACCAGGAAACGGTTCCATGACCTCGACGACAGTGAGTATCGCCTCCTTGTTCTCGTTCCTTGCACGCGCTGTGCGGGGTCCGCCTGCCGTACGCAGTTACGGGGCTGTGTGTGGCTTCTACGCGGACGGTCACGTGGCATATATCATACCGCCCCTTCGCGTCGCCAGCCGCCACTGCGTCGGTCTGATCGGCCATCGGTATCCGTGGCTTTTTGGCGTTGTACAGCTTTGCTGGCCCCGCGTATCTTTGCGTCATAGGACGGTATGCTAATTCTGCACCTCTCTTCCAGATGAAGCAATCAAATGGCCCGAATTGAACGCACACGACGGCGCAACGCCGGCAACCCGCGGCTTTGACGATGATGGCGCCTCGATCCGCCCTGGCGGTGTCGGCGGCGTGAACAACTACGCTGCATCCGTTGGCGCAACCTCAACGACAGAGTTGTACCCGGCAGGCGCAGACCCATACGCTGTCCCACCTCTGCCGCAGTTCAACCCCGCACAGCCCTACCGCGACGACCCGAACGCACTATACGACCCCTACGGCGGCCCTAATCTCGCCGCGCCTTCGACTGAGAATATTCCGATGACACAGTTGGCTGGAAGGAGAAGTCCGGCACCGTTCGCGGGGTACGATCAGGGTATGGGCGGCAGAGCTAGTCCAGCGCCCAGTGGGATGGGCTATGGTGCACCGCCACCGCAGCAGTACATTGGAGAGCCGGGGAGAGTGCTCAGTCCCGCGCCGATGCAGGGCGGGTACGGAGAGAGGGCGAGGAGCCCTGGGCCGGGGATGGCGATGGGCAGAGCGTCGCCGGCGCCACAGGGAGCTGGCGGGTACGGGTACCAGTAGTCCGCACGGAAGGACAAGGAAGAGATGATACGAGGAGGTGTGGTATGGATTAGGATACCCTGCATGCGGACAGAACTTCGAGCTGTTTGACCATTCAATAATACTTCGGACTTCGCCGCATCATAAAGCAACTGACTTTTTTTACCGGAGGAAGGCAACAGTAAATTATACCGCTCCTTCCCGATACTTACTTGGCCATGCACACGTTCTCTATATGTACATAACGTCCCGCTCGAGGCGGGGGCGATAGAGTATGTCCATCAGTATAATCGTTCTTTGGATTTTATCTCTGGCTTTGACGGAAGTTGAACAACGTGGATGTGGGTGCTTATGGGTGCCAGAGACTCGAATTTGGTTGCGAGTACAGGTGTTTGGCAAGCCCAACTATCTCGTCCAGAGACAGTTCGTAGCCCTCGCAGATCATCCGTACTGTGCATTCTCGGCTCTCGGGCGTCTAGAACGGTCTGGATAATTACAAAGTTCACCGCTGTTCGGGCGCTTAGCGTGGCACGATGATCTGCGACGCGGCGACGGCAACGCTTGGGAGATCGTCATCGTAACCGTGCCACCACCTCGCCCAGCTGTCATCCAGAGAACCGAACTTTAACCAGAACTACCAGGCGGCATGTAAGGCTCACTATCTATCCAACTGTGCTATATAATAATTCTGACATGTGGTGTACAGGCCTCTGCCAGACGAGCGCCCGCGCGCAAGCGTCGCGAACCTGATCGGCCGGTTCGAGCAACAGCAGAAGAAAGCTCCTCAGTCCTCGAACCCTTCTTCGCGCCCGACTTCCGTCGTATCACATACCACCGGCGACAGCTCCAAGGAAGAAGCCAAAGTCCAACGAGAATGGCCGCCCGTGATGACGCCCTCGCTAACGCGGACGTCGTCGGCCGCGACGAGCCCGCCTACGAACCCGAGGAGAAGCATGCATTTCGTGTCGCCGCCGCCGAGCATGCAGCCGTTGCCGGCGGCTGTGACTCCGCCGCCTCAGGCTGAAGCGCCGATTATTCCTGATGAGCCTGCGCCCGAACCTGTTCCGGAGGTCAAGGAGCCTGAACCTGCGCCTGCGAACGAGAAGCCGAAGCCTTCGCCCGCTACGCCTATTGCCAAAGCAAAGTCGGCTAACCCTGCTCCTCGTACTTCGGCAGCTGCCGTCTCCCGCGCGCATTCGCGTGCGTCCACTGTCACTCCGGCGAAGACCACACCCGCACGGCCGCCTGGCCCACCGAAAGTGCCCGTGAACGTGACGCCCGTCCGTCCAAAGACGCCCGTGCGGTCCAAGACCCCCTCCGCGCGTCCATCAATGGGCACACCCCGCACCGCGCCCCGACCCAGCACAAGCGGCGGACGCCCAAAGACGCCCTCCGCCTCCACACCCGCCAAACCGCGCGAATCGCTCTCGCATTCCACATCCGGCGCGACATCGCGCCTGTTTGCGCCCACGGCTGCGTCACTGGCCCGAGCTGGGCAACTGCCTGCTAAAGACGACAAGAAGGACACGCCGAAGAAGCCTGCGCCTGATCTGAGCAGGTTGAGTAAGCCGACTGCCGCTTCTGCTGCTAAGGGTCGCGCGCCTGTTGCTGTGCCGACTAGTCCGCCCAAGACGCGGGGTACGCCTGTCAAACGCGGGGCGCCGACGACGAGAGGGGCGCCGGCTGCGAGAGGTCGGGGTGCTGCGCCTGTGGCGAAGAAGGTTGTGGCGGGCGCCGCTACTGCGGGTGCTGGGGCTGCCGCCGTCAGAACGGTAGAGAGCGAGGCGCATGTGGAGGATGCCGCGGCGTTTGAGGAGCATCATGAAGTGGATGATGCGGTCGTCGAGGAGCACATCGAGGAACCTGCTCACGAGGAGGAGCCCGTGCACGAAGAAGAGCTTGCCGAGCCAGAGCCGGAACATGTCGAGGTCGAGGCTGAAGAGCCAGTGTCTGTCGACCCTGCCTCTGATCTGCACCACGCAGACGAGGTCGAGCCCGAGCCGGTTGAGGAGGACGCGCACGTCGCGGACATCGCGGAGTCCGAGCATGATCACGAGACCGCGTCTGAGACCGCAGCGGAGGAAGAGGTCGTTGAGGAGAGCAAGTCGCCGAGGGTGCAGGACGATATACTGGATATGGTCAGCATGCTCGAAGGGAGCAAGATCTCGCTCACTGCCGGCGAGATTCCGGATGAGGAATAATTCATGGTATGTCTGGTTGGTACATTCAACTTGCGACGGACGACGCTCATACGCCTGCTATCCAGGATACTAGATGAAATAATGGAACAGGAAAACAATGAATGGATTGGATACACGCCCATTTTCATCATCATAGGACGTGTCACTTCTCTCGTGTACCATATCTTGCACTTCACTTCTCCCTCGTCTCTGACACTCGATATCGGAGACCTCCGTACCTTCTCTCTTCCAACCCAGCTGGTTATTTTGCACGGGCGAACGTCGCTCGTACCTTACCTCTCTTTGGCTTCTCTGCTCTTTCCTTTCGCTCTTTCTGTCGAGTAGTTTCCTTTCGTCTTTACTTGGTCCGCTCATGCACACATCACCTCTATACCCTATCAACAACTTTTGCACTAATCTTCGCGCGTGACTGGTTGCAGCTCACTCATCCCACATCCTGAACTCTGCCGAATACTCACAGTGAGGTAGTTGCTTTACACCTGTGACCCTACTCTCAGTTTACTCGCGAGGCTACTGTCGGCTTTTGGATCCCGCAGCTCCCCAGCGTACTTACTTAGTGGAGCTTACGCGTCGGACACGGCCATCATTCCGTCGCGTATGCTCATGGTTATACCCGAGCCTAAGCCGAGGGTGTTATGTTGCTAAATGGCTGGATGTTGTCTACACATATTTCATAAACTGTAGGACAGCGATCGACCAGCCCAGTATGTCTGACCAGTACTCGCGAGTACATGTAAGTACGCTTTTTGCAAAGGTCCTGTGCGCTTCAGAAACGCTTGAACCGAAAGGCTGGTACTTGAACAACACTGCGCTCACAATTAAGTTTGCGACGACGCGATTGGTTCACAGGTTGCCGCAAGATACCGCCAAGCCTCGCCGCATCTCGTTCATCAAGTAACTTACATCCGTAGGCGCGAATCAGCCTCGCGGAACGTCCAAGCCTCACAGCTCTGTTGGATTTTCGCCCAGATTTAACCTTCCTGTATATCTGCTGCCAAAGCTGCTTATCAGTATCTGTAGGAGCAGCGCGGTGACGTGCTGTCAACCGCTGTCAATCAAGATAACGCTCCGGACAGGCAGGAACGACGTCCTCCGAATGTGGAATAGCTTGCCCGATTGTACCTGGCCGCTCGTCTGCCTCCGCGGCGGGATACGAGGTTAGGGTTCGGGCTGTTCTGGATGCCGCCGGCCGAACTTGCCTTCGAACCCCCGTTATCGAAGCCCGTACCTTGGCATCTTTTCAGGTCTTGTGCCAAGGTTGATGTGAACGCAGCGTTCGGCGGGTGGGTGTACAGAATTCTACACCGCACCTCCAAGCCGCCGTTGTACTCAGGAAGATCATCGGCGGTGAGAAAGGGTCGCGCAGCAGACCGTCGAGCGAGCGTCGCATTCGCAGCCCACGGAGCAATTGAGTAGGCCGAGGGCCGGCTCGGGCGACGGAAGGACGAAAAGAGGATTGTTTTGGGCGGCGCCAAGGAGCTGATGGCGATCATTACGGTGCTCATGCGACGCGGATAAGATTCGTGTCCCGAGGCATCCGGATACCGGATGCAGCGCGAACACGGAATACGTGCTGACACGGCGACTGCATTCTCATGAGGGTGTGGGGTGTTGTGGCAGTGACACAGGTACAGCTCTACGCGTTACGACGAGCACAACAAGGACGTACGTTCAGACGCCCGTGCTCAAATATAGAGGGCTGTCTTGCACGGACTGCGGTGCTGCGCACGACCAGCACACGACCCACCCACAACGGCGGCTACTTTCGTATCACAATACCCTTTCGCTTGTAATAAAGGTCCGCAGGGATCGAAATCCACCGCTGAATACTCGCTTTTGACGTCAGCAAGAAGTAGTTCCCTCCGCATTTTGACGGGTCCTGTTTCGACTTTCCGACGGCTTGGTATTTACTGCTCGTGTGCGCAATCTCCTGGTTGCCGAGGACGATCATGCAGTTGGCCTTGCAGACGCCGGCCTGGGTACAGTCCTCCACGCCAGCCTGGGTGCAGAACGGCGCGAACCAGCTCAGCCAAGTATCTTGGAGTCGGACCACGCGCTTCCGCGTCTTCTTCGCCATCCTCGCCCTCAGCTTCGTATACACGCTTTCCACATTTATTTGGGAGAACGACTCGAACGAGTGGGAGGACGGCGCGATCCCGATATCTTATGTCGACAAGAACTGGGAGCCGTACACGCCCGCAGAGCAGCTCGAGGATGACCCCAGTGCGTGTTCATGTCATGATGCCTTCGCCATCGCGTACAGCGCTTAACCGAACCAAATAGACGCCCCGTACATCTTCTCACCGCTGAACGACAACTTCTACCTCCCCATCCGTCCTTCATCGCAACCCGACCAAGCGGCGCTGGCGCCCAGTTGGACACAACCGCCACAGTCATGCCTGGACGAGATTGTGGGGAGCGGCACGGACTGCACCGGCGGGTGGCAGGCCGAGAAGAAGCTCGACTTTGTGTGGACCTGGGTCAACAGCAGCGACCCCGTGTGGGCTGAGGCGCGCGCCGCCATCAGCGCACAGCTGCTCGGGAAGCCCAAGGTAAAGGTGGACCCCGAAGCGGCCATGGCACATTTTCGGTGCGCACGCGATCAATGTTGCTGTTTGGCTTGGCATCCCTCTGACTGTTCATCTGTCCCACTATGCAGGAACTACGACGAGCTGCGACACTCGATACGCAGCGTACTCATGCACTTTCAGCCGTACGCACGGCAGTTCAACATTCTTGCTTCGTACGTTGAATGTAGATCGCGTATCCGCGACATCCCGCTGATTATATGCGCAGCGACTTTGCGCCCCCAGGCGAGCGCCTCTCTTCCCCGCTACGGCTGGGCCAAGCCCCGCAATGGCTCGACTCTTCCCGCGATCCAGTGGAGTGGCAGCATAACGACGTCCAGATGAAAGTCCACCATCACGTCGACTTCTTCAGGCCGTACTTCGAGACGGTCTTCTCCAGCTTCGCCATCGAGTCGCAGCTGGGAAACCTCCAGGACGTCAACGATCTTTTGTTAGTTGATTTCTTATGCTCTGCGATGATCTCTTGGCTTATTGCGCAACACAGCGTGTATATGAACGACGACATGTATTTCTTACGCGACCTCACTCCGGCCGATTTTTATACCTCTGGTAAGGTCTCATGAGCGTGTATCTGGCGTTTACGTCATTGACACTATGTGACAACAGCATATGGATTCGTGTTCCGCCTTGTATACTATATCCAAATACCCCCATCACTAGACCCCAAGCCTCAGCGCGGAGAATGGCAAGCCCTGCGCGAGTCTAATGTGCTCATCGGCCAGCGATTCGGGTGAGATTTTCCGCTTTTACGTTCGTCCCCACCTGACTGACACCTCGTTTATGCAGTCCCTCAACACGACCGTATCGCTCGCACATGCCCAAGATTATGTCCGTCTCACTCTTGCATGAGATGGCCGAAACCTTCTCCGAAGCGTTCACACGTACGGGCTCTCGCCCGATGCGCGCCGTATGGCCACCTAGCGAAGGCGGCGACGTGCATCCCGGCTTCATGTTCGCTCACTATATTGTCGAACGATGGCGTGAGGGACTGCTGTGGTCGTGGGCCGTCGCGAGAATGGGCGGTGACGATGACAGCTGGAACGCCGATGATGCTTGGCAAGAGCTGCGTGGCGGAGACGCCGAGACATTATGGATTGGGAGGATTGTGCGCGAAAGCTTGAGCGACGCCCTGCAACAACTATGGCGAGCAGGATACGAGAGCCCCGGAGCCTCGTTCTACTTCTTCAGTAAGTTCTTTCCAAGCAGAACTGCCCTTTGACCCGTAGTACTGACTGGGAATTATAGGTTCGCTTGACGGCTACCCGTATTACTCCATGCGTCAGACCGGCAGCCAGGAACACCCACATCTCATGGACCCCAACGTCTGCTCCATCTCGCGCACGGAATGTTTCCCTCCCGAAATAACAAGCGCCAGCGAAGCCTTCGCGCACATCGCCTTCAAGCGCCCGCAGTGCGGTGACTGCGGTCAGCACACTTCCCCTTCCCCATTCATGTATCCAAGTGCTGCGCAATGTACTGACTATATTTGTATCTTTGTGTAGTGATCAATCGGCTGGTACAGAACAGCGGGCGCCGCGGGCTCTCTGCTGTGCTTCCACCCTCGGGACGTACGTTTGCCGCGGCATCCACGGGTTCAACGGCGACCACCCTGCCGAAAGTGCCACGCTGGGAAGACGGCGCCTTCGCATTACGCGATATTCTCTCGCACTCGCCGGACTCCGAGGTCATCGACGTGCGCGGTTGGGTCTTGCGGATGTTGCATCGGTACCGCTTCGTGTTGGCCGATAGCCCGTACGAGTTTGTATTCCTCGTGGACGACAAGAGCGCACAGGGTGCGGTGGATCGGTTGCAAGGGCACGATAAAGCCTTCGCGTGCATGAACGACGATGTGGAGAGCGACGACGATGCAGTCGCCGTTGAGGCTATCATGAGGGAATGGCAGGATACGAGGTGGGGCGAGCCTGCTGGATGGGAAGCGGCATGAGTGCTGTTGAGGGTGAGGCGGCGGGGGAGAGGTTACTTGCTTTGCTGCATCTTTGACAATCACTGCATTGCACACATCATTATCCAGTTGCTGGCCGGGCGGACGACGCCCGCGCCTTGTATTTGTATCACCATGGCATCGCTTTACATATTTGCTTTCGACTACACGCTGATACCAAGAATCCCCATAATATCATCCGATTCTTCATAGACGTGACTCCGCCGGACTACTCTAGTGAGCTATGCCATCTGTGGATACGTGCTCGTAGAGAAAGGATGTGGAGCAATAACAGCGTACTTAACGCATAAAGATCGTTCGTCGCGGGTCATCTCATTTCTTGACTCTATCCCCGCACCGGCTTTTGTGTCCGCCTTTATTCCAATCTCTACAGCCAAGATGAGCAACTGCGTCCATTGTCGTCAATCTCTGAATGAGTGCCGTACCTCTTTTGACACTGACGGCTACAGTAGTAGACCTGGCCGCAGCCTGCGCATGCCCTAGGCCTACCCTCCGGAAGTGACCTACGACTGTACTTGCATTGGAAACGCGTACATCGGTCCGATCTGCTTTTATGAAACCTCTGGTTCTCTTCTTCGTCATCTAGGCCAAGAGCGTGAGCAAGTGTGTCCCACGCAACGCGAATGTCGTCGTGTTTTTCGATAACTCCGGGAGGCGACTCGGGCGTGAGAAACTTCTCTATGGCAGGTCTCTGAGCGTCCATGTGCAAGCGAGTCACCCACCACTCCTCCTTCATCCCCTTCTTCATCGATTGCAAGAACTCTAACGTAGGCTGATCGTTTTTGCACTGCGTCTGAAGCCCTGAGACTAGTCGCAAGATATATCGCAGCCGCAGAAGAATGTGATCTTCTATCAACGTACTTGACGGGGCTGCAAGACATCCTGGTCAATTCAAGCTCAGAGCATGATGAGCATACAGTCCACACACCATTCGGAACCATGACTAGGCACATTGAGCCATCGTTCACGAGGAGGCAGTCGATGATCCGAGCACATTCTGTCACAACGTCTACTCCTCGGCAATATACAATAGGGGCACCCGCCCAAGCCGATCTTTCCATTAACTCAAGGATAGACCTGAGAATGACGAGTCAGATGTGTTCAGCGAGCTTCTCACTTGGCTCACCCAGTCAGAACTTGACAACTATACCAATCGCTCATAAAGGTGCCGGTACTCGTATTCCAAAAGACATTCGCCATGGCACGGACACAATGCTCGTGACCGCGATATTTCCAAAGGCGTTCCGTGATGGATGGATGGCATCCAAGAACGATTACCGACTGTTTCTGATTTTGAAACTCATCGAACTCCAGGCCGTCAACAGGCTCATCCCGTTGAAGGAGTTCGCTAAGATATTGTGCGAACGAGTCTGCCAGTTGGCCGTCGTCGGTCAGAAGGACCTCGGAGACGAGCCGCCGCGTGTGAATTCTGTCCGCTAGAATCAGCGACGAGAGCGCCTCGTAGGCGAAATCCCTATAGTCTGGATCTGGCACGCGGTCGGTTGAGGTCTGTTTGAAAGATAGCAGGCAATATAGTGCGACATGTTGGATGTAGGTATCAATGAGCATCTCATTGTACCTCAAGCGCCCCCTGTAGCCCAGATACCACATCAGCTCGAGGTTTCGGATGGCGTCCTCAGGCTCACTCACACTTCCATCTCCAGCAACTCGTGGTAGACAAATGCGAGTTGCACGATAGGCTCTGACCACGAAGTACCCGACGCCCAGTTTTTCCCCACATAATGGTGTTCGGACTTGGTGTGCAGTTTGAGGGCGCGTCGTTGCTCCCAGATGCATTTCCACAACAGATGCGCTCGAATGACGATAGAGGTCTTTGTAGGATGAGAACGGATCTTCTGCGTAAACTGGTGTCCAAAATAGACGACTAAGGATGCAAGACCTTCTATGATGCTGTCTGTAAAGAACTATATCTGCACATCAGAGTTGGCGTGACGCGGTTAGTGAGTGGCTTACTACAGGCGCGGTGAAGAAGCCATCGTCCATGATAATATCTTGATAGAATTCGTGCAGGCCCCAGTCGAGCGCGGCATCGTATATCGCGGCATCGTGGATGACAAGGGCGCAATTGATACTATCCGCGGAGACAAGCAATTCCTTATTCTCCCCTGTTGGGCTGCGGAGCTGATATAGCTTTCGAAACTTGTCTAAAAGGGCCTTCAGCACGACAGCATCGTTCTTCCCAAGCCCCTTATACGTCGACCGGAAGGCCGAAGGATCCACGCGCACTGCCTGACGTCGAAGATTTGTGGGGTTTTGGGCCATGTGCATGAATGGGCGAGACGAGATCAGAGCGGATTCGAGTATACCGATGTACAAGTCCGATGAGCGGTTCGAACGTAGGGACGAGGGTCCTCAGTGAGAGTGGCGGGAGTTGGCTAGAGGGGAAGAACGTTGTGGGACGAGCCTACAGTAGCGCGCGCCTATCTGTCAACACGCGCCTCGCTCCAAACAGCAATGAATGGGCCTCATTTGTGTAAAGATCTTGGGCGAAGGCCCCGTGGTGAGTGCTCAGTTGACGTGGGACCCGCCGCGCCTCCTCGTGTATAGAAAGCGAACCGCCGTCGGCTGAAGTCGGCACCTTTATTCGCATCACAGAGCGTGACCGCCTTGATTCTCACGTCTCGTTTGATGCGGTGAAACCCATCGTAAGTCATGGAAGAGTGAAGGGCAGGTCCGCAAACGACATCATCGTCGCTTAAGGCAAGACGCATCGACTCAAAACACAACTTAGCGCGTCTTGAAGCTAACCTTAACCCAACGTTACCCAGTATCTAGTACTGATCCGCTCAGAGGATCAGATACACGTCGACCTAAAGTAGGGGGGCCTATACAGTAGTCGCGGACTGGCTATCAAATAATACAAGCAAGAAAGACAACACTGTTTCTACATGAAGTCGTTCGGATCATTGCCAAAGTCATCCAATGCTTCTTCGTAGGCATTTGTGTCGACGGTCCTGTTACCATGTCAATATGATGACTACTAGATCTTAGTGAGATCACACACTTTCCGACGACCTTGGCAGAACCAAGTCCAGGCTTCGAAGCGCCCTTAGTCTTCTTCTTTCCTGATGCCGCATCGCGCTGAGCCTTTTGCTTCTCGTTCGCGAGGGTTGTCAGGCCGCTAGCAGCCTTGCGCACTTCTACATCTCGCAAAGGTTCTGCAAGGGCACGAACGTGATGTTCGACGAAAGCAGGATAAAGCGGCTTGTCCGAGTGCTTCTTGATGATGAACTCCATGATGCGATTTGACAGCGCGACGAAGTCGTCTTTCGTCCTGGGCTGAGCAGAGATGATGGCGTCCAGATCCTTATTGGTCGTGCCTACGATTTACGATGCTCAGTACGGTCCGGGTCACAGCTACAAGAAGAAGACGGACCTCCAAGAGCAGCAGAGCCAAGAAGGTCCGCAGCGTTATTGAGGTCAGCGGCAAGCTCGCGTTCACGATCAAGTTTTGCTTTCGTGCGAGGGTCGAGAACAGCATCTTCGTCGTAGATATCGTCGCCATTCTCGTCTTTTCTGGCCGCCTTCAAAGCCTCCTTCTCCGCAAGCTTCTGCTTCAAAGTACCCTTCTTCTTCGGTGGTGCGGCAGCACTAGGAGCCGGTGCAGGTTTCTCCTCGTCATCAGAAGACGCCTCCCAGTCACTCTAAGTAGTTGCGTATATCAGCCGTGTATTCTCCAGACAGCCAAAGCGAGGCGTACCGCAGGACCAGAGCTCTCTTCATCTTCGTCAGCCCATTTGCTAGACTTGACAGGCTTCTTCACGGCTGGCACAGGCGCGGGCGGGCTCTTTGGCTCCTCGGCATCAGACGCATCTACAGTCCGATCTTAGCTCAAATACAGACTGAGAAGATGTGCCAACGCACGCACCCCAGTCAGACATCTATCAGGTACAACAATCTATAGCTACAAGTGGACCAAAACGTAGAGACGGACGGCGCCGCGCAGAGCGATCAAACGAGATGATGGTCGAAAGCAAGATCTCAGCGGTACTTTCCGGGCCGCGACCGCGAACCTGGCGTGACTTTCGCGGTGTCCTTCGCGGTCGTCCACCATCATGTCGAGCAACGCGCAGCGCTTACTCCAGCTGGCTTTGCCACTCGTGAGAGACCACGGCTTCTCAAAAGAAGTTCTGTCGTACTCCGTACTGTCACTGCCTGAACCACCCTCTGCACCACTGAACGATGCCGCTGTGAATGCACTCTTCGGCAAGGGTGACAATGCCCGGAGAACGCTCATAAACGCCTGGCTTGAGGAAGGACGAGTCCAGATGCGTTCCCAGAACACAAAGTCTGTCGGTGAAGTACTTGCAGCACGACTGAGATATAACGAGCCCGTGCTGCCTCTGCTTCCAGAGGTGCGGCAACTCGAACCAGCGCTCGACTCCTCTCTCACGGATGAATTAGGTATTCGCGTTGCTTGCCTCTCCACGGTCCGGCCTTCCACCCTTGGATGCCCGACCGGCTCTCCAGCATGCCACGAGCATCGCGAATGAGGCCTGTCAGGTGGTCGGCGACGCATCTATCGGAGTACGTACCTACTCTATATGATTGCTGTGCCGGAGGCTCACGAGCTTAGTATGATTGGTATACGCGAAGGGCATCTCTAGCGGCAGTTTATGCTGCAGCAGGTGCGTTCGTTGTGCAACCAGCTCTCCTTCTGTTGCTAATCGACATCTTTTCCCAGAACTCCATCAACTGTCCTCCCCCGAGACAGCGCCAGCATTCTTGCACTCATTACTCACGACGTCGGCATCTGTGGAACATGCGGTATCTGAGGTAGAATTATACGCGGACTATATTTTGAAGAGTTGGAAGGGTATTATACGGAGTTCGGGTGTATTCTAAGTTGCCGACGCTCATCGAATCTTTCTTTCGCCCTCCGCCTCCCCCAGTTTTGGGACGCGAACGCAGAGACCCTCAATTGGGCTTCAGAAGTTTATGCATATCGGGGTTCCTGCAGGCTTGAAAACGCGCAACCTAGCTTCAGATAATGCCACGTCGACGTCTTCAGGCTGCCGCCATATAATCCGCTTTGCTAAAGCAGAGAAATCCAATCTGGCACGATGGAGGTTGGAGCTTCTGTCTGAAGACGCCGAGGGATCGAGGTAGGACGGAAGATCCAATATCTGGAGCAAGGGAGCATTTGTTGTTGAACGGCGCTCTAGGCACGAGTGGATTGTTGAGAGTGGCACCCATGCGGGGCGTACATCTCGCGCGAAACGCAGGTGGTGTAGCTGAGGAAAAGCTACGCGAGCGCTAGCGGCGAGGGCTTCGAGAACCCTTTGGTACCCGATTCTGGGTTCGTTGGAGGGAGGATCATATCTTCCCCTTCTGAAGTCTTCTCGGGGATGAGAATAGCCCAGCACGAACGTCGTCACATTTGGAAAGCAGTGAAAAAGAGGCAGCCAGTGCGTGGCTGATGGGTCTTCACTTTGAGGAAGAAGTGTGAATGTGGTGATGCCTTCCAGAAGCTTGTCGATGCCAAGCGAAGGGAGCCTTCGGGCGAGTCCATCGAGAGCGAAACACCCTAACGATGCGCCGCCTACATCCTGACCACGCTGCTGGCCGCGCACAGCGCCTACAGAGAGTATGTCCCATTCAATACGAAACTCCTCGGGAGATGCACCATGGCAGAAGCCTTTCGAGACGGTGCTTAATAGCTCGAAATCCTCGTCACGCTCGATTTTGTCGTTGAATAGGCTGAAGTAGGCGTTGTAAGGCACGGCCAGGTGCTTGAGCGCGCAATTGAGTTGCCAGGTGGGACCTCGTATCTCGAGCTCCAAAAAGCGGAGATGGCGAAGTTCCAATGGTTGAGCGTCATCTGACGGGTTGTATGGGACCGGTGACGACCAACCTCCCTCGAATCCCGTGAGCCAGAGCTCTTCTAGTAGAGGCGCAGCAGATAGGATTCCCATGAAGGTTGAGAACGATATAGAGCCTAGCTCAGTGACCAAATCGGTCTCATGCATGTGGTGAATCTCGATATATGTCAATGCTGGCGCGACGAATGGTACGAAGAAGCCGAAGTACTCCAGACGGCGCAGACGCGGGGCATGCAGTTTGGACATTGCGCTCTGAAAGGTGCCATAGCGGTCACATGTATAGATGGGCTGTATCCTCAAGGTCTCCAGGATCGGCAGTGTCTTGCCGCTGAGCATTCCCGCAACCAGCGGAAGTTCTTCTGCCTCCCAGCAGATAGATCGGAGACGTCCGGACTCGATGGTAGTAGACATCGCTAGGTGCGGTCTGTCCACGCTCTTATCCCGGAATGTGACGCTTATTGGTGCGGAAGACCCGGCTCGCTCAAGCATCACGGATAACGCTGCCGGTAGAAGCCCAACGTCGCGACCCCATATGACGGGATACGCCAGTAGTCTGCGGCGCCAGCGAGACGATACATGAGTAAGGCGAATCCATCCAAGTGTAGCGGGCTTCCGTCTATCACTGTGATCGTCTGCGTCCTCGTCGTCCTCTTCAGAGCCGGGTATCGCCTCACCTCGAGGCGGCCACGGGCGCTCTGCCTCGGCGACAAGAGTGGAAATCGCAAGAAACACTTCGATGGGCAAGGTGGCAACTGGCACAAGATCGTTGGCCCGGCGACGAATATTGCATATCAGAGCGCTCAGAGCGTCGACCTCCCGCAGGAGTTGGCTCTGCGTAACGAGTTCTTGAGAGCATGGATGCATGGACTCCGAGTCCGTGTTTATGCGCGGCACGTCACAACCTCCATAGACAGACATGAAGCATTCTCTAGCTGCATTGGCGCATGGCAAACCAGCTCTCTGGTAACATGTATGGATAAGTCGGTTGGATGCAGAGTATCATTCACACTGACATTTGTATTGGTAGACATCAGATGTTGGCCGAGTCCGCTACTGGCTCAGTGGTCACAGTGCAACATCAAGAACGGCCCTTCCCGCCGGTGCAATCAACGTTACACGTCACGGGCATCAGTCACGCATCTTAATGCCGCTTGATGCCGTCGGCCGACGGACCGTCTCTTTCTTGCTCCGCGCCAGCACTCTAGGGTCGAAACGTCTGGCGTGCCCCAATATTGCATCTATATCTGCTCTGAACGGCTTTGTCCACATGATATTGCTGGGCGCAAGTGGACCATGCGGGCCATTCCTTTGCTTGCTATCGCCGACTGTCATGAGTCTTACGTTCTGTTCGCGCTGATTACTGATTATGGTGACGGAGAAACTCCCAAGCTCAAGCGTTCCTGCGTTAAGACGCGTCAGCGCGTCAGCGCTCAGCAACTGGGCGGCCGAAACAGCGACGGCATGTGCGAATGGCAGCACACGTCGTCGTTAATCACGATCAGAGCTCGGCGAAGTCTGCCATTGCCCGAACCGCAAGTCCCTGCGATTCGCTAGGCGAGACGGGTTCATTGCCGTGTAGGCTTCAGCAAGGAGATCTCTAGGTCTATGATGTGGACCTTACAGACAAATAATGTGTCAGGTGAAACGGAAATTCATGGTGTAACCCCTATATAACAGGAGTATGACTGGTCTGGGTGGACCCAATCCTCCCTCATCAACTCATCCCACCTCAATCGCACAACGCCAATCATGAACCTCATCGGCCTTGACGAAGTCGCCATCTTCAGCGATCAGCACGAGTATGTCGCTCTCTTCGTGACTGCCCTTTCAATAAATCTTGACCACGTTCGCCTTCCAGCATCTACCCCCTGATCGACCCGAAGTCGTCTTTTGAAACGCAGGCTTACAAGGACAAGGTCGTCATCGTCACTGGTGGTTCGACGGGCATCGGTGCTACTACCGCCCTATTCTACGCGAAAGCTGGCGCGAAGGTCATCATCAACGCGCGCCGTGTCGAGAATCTCGAAACTCACAAGGCCACCATTGAGAAAGAAGCGCCTGGAGCGCAGATCTTGCTTGTCGGTGGGGATGTCTCCGATCCGGAGGTTGGAAAACGCATCGTGAAGACCGCTGTCGAGACGTGGAAGCGGCTGGACATCGTCGTCGCCAACTCGGCTATTGCTGCTGGACCCGTCGATAGTGGGTCGCATGCGCGGTCACGTTATGCAATAATGAACCTGCTAATCTTGGCCCTAGAACTTGCCGACAGAGATGCTTTTGCTTGGTGGCACACACAAGAAGTCAATGTGCGCGGCACCTTGAACATCATACAGTGCGTAGCTTCTCGTACGCCTCCAATAGATCTATCTGTTGAACCATAGTCAGCCCGGCCATTCCTGAGCTCCTCAAGACGAAGGGTCAGATCGTCGTTACAACTTCTGCTGCGGCGCACCTGCGCCTGCCGCTCATGGGAGACTACAATGTGTGTATATCGGGCTTCTTCAGTGTTGACAGGACTTGACTATGTAAATGTAGATCAGCAAGCATACTCTCAATCGCTTTACTGAAATACTCGCGCTTGGTCAGTGTGCGCCCTGATACGGTTGTGAAAGGACTAACGCGCGTTCGCAGACTACCCCGAGATTCCTATCTATACTGTTCATCCTGGAGCTATCCCTACCCCTGGAGCTAACGAATTCCAGGAGAAGACAGGTACTAAAGGTATCATTCCGATGCCAGATACCGTTGAGCTCCCTGCGGCGACGTTCCTTTGGCTCACCGCCGGCAACGCCAAGTTCCTCAGTGGTCGGCAAGTGCGAGTCTGTTGCGGAGATGGTTTTGTGGCTCACCCTTGTACAGTTATGTGCAAGCCAACTGGGATCTCAGCGAGGTCTTGTCCAAGAAGGACGAGATAGTGCGCGATAATCTGCTAGTCACGAAATTGGCAGGCCCAAAGAAGTCTGCGTGATCGTGGCTGTCAAACCTTCCCCTCGCTTGAGATCGTCAGACATTATCTCGCTAAATCTTGTACCAATACCACTCGTATTTGCCCCACTACAAATATATCGTTTCCCCGTATCGCTTCATACCCCGTCATGGAGTGGCCGTATCATGTTCCTCGTGGACCGTGCAAGATCATCTACTATCGTTTCCGGTGATCACGCGTGGCTGACGAGCTGACCGCCTGGCATCATTACCTACAAGCTTAGTACAAGCCGCATAGATTCCCACTGGCAAGGAATGGAGGCCCCTCGAAAGATCTCCCGATCATGAAGTTCTCAAATCCCAAGGCGGCGTTAGGAGCACAATACGTTATCGCATGGTCATACGGGGGAGCTGGTATCTAGTGGGCGTAGAGTGCGAGCCAGGTCAAATTGGGGTTAGGGTTTGAGTGCGGGAAGACGCTGGAGCCGCGTGCCGCGCAACGTGCGTTTCAGAACGAACGACGATGATGCTCAACCTCATCTCTCTTTACGAAATCCCTACAGCTTCGTACTGAATGAAGGCTCTCCAGGCTCTATGTCTGTGATTCTGCTCGAAGCGCTACAGTCATGGCTTGACTGACCCTGACTATCCGTTCTGTCCCGGGTCATTCTCAAGTATGTCCAGAGAAGCCTGTAGCGTCTTGGCTTACTCAGGTTGCCCATCGCGAAACGTCAAGCATGAACCCCGGGTCTTCCACTACGCCTTGGTGTGCACGTTTGTCTAGCTCTGTGCCCGCACGCGTGTATGCAGAATCGCGGCACATCTACAGGAGAAAGCGGGTTCTCAGGGGACTAGTGGGCGCAGGGCGGGTAGACAGCGCGTGCTATGGTATAAAGATGCTGCCCCGCAAGGTCTCATGCCCATCAGACGCATTCGACGTATCGACACTCGACTACTTCAAGCATGGATCTCAAGGAGACTCGACTCTTCGCTGCCGTCCATGAGTGCGTCATGAAGTATTTCTATTTTGCAAACACTCATGACTACATCTCAGCATATACCCTCTGATCGACCCCGAAACATACTTCACATTGCAGACCTATAAGGACAAGGTCGTCATCATTACCGGTGGCTCAAAGGGCATCGGCGCCACTACGGCACTTTTCTATGCCAAGGCCGGCGCAAGGCTCGTACTCGTCGCGCGTAACACCGCCGGTCTGAACGAGCGCAAGGAGACTTTGGAGCAAGATGTCACTGGCGTCGAGGTTGTGTTAGTGGCAGGAGACATATCTGACCCTCAGATCAGCAAGCAAGCTATACAAGCTGCCGTGAAGAAGTGGGATAGAATAGACATAGTCGTGTCCAACTCCGGTCTTGGCCAGGGAGGTGTAGAGAGTCAGTGAAGCCTTTCGACGTCGCGCCGTCTGTGGCTGATGCAGTGTGCGCAGAGTTTCACGAGAGAGATCCTTCGACCTGGTGGTACACGCAGGAGGTAAATGTGCGAGGCACGCTGAACATAGTGCAGTGCGTTTCCTAGCTCATTCGTACCCGTAATTGGTGGACTGAAGGTCGGCTCATAGCGCGGCGATCCCCGAGCTTCTTAAGACGGCAGGTCAAGTGATTGTTGTCTCCTCACAGCTCGCGCATGTGCGCGTGCCCATGATGGCTGACTACAGCGTACGCGTGCTTTATTTCCATCTTGTCCTGCACTTAGCAGGCTGTACGTAGATCAGCAAGCATACGGTCAATCGGCTGGTCGAAATCCTCGCGCTTGGTTAGTGGTTATACTGCACGCGATCGACATCACTAAGATCTGACATGTACGCTTGGTAGAGTACGCGGACATCTCATTCTACTCTGTGCATCCCGGCGCGATCCCCACGCCAGGATCAGCGGATGTGGCCGAGCGGATGGGCTTGCCAAAGGGCGCTGTCGAGCTGCCGGACACGGTCGGGCTGCCAGCCGCAACATTCCTCTGGCTTACTTCTCGTCACGCCGAGTTCCTCAGTGGCCGGTGAGTGCTGTCGTGTATCCGTTTCGTGATGGCGACTCATGACCCCCAGATATGTGCAAGCCACCTGGGATCTCAACGAAGTGATTGCTAAGAAGGAAGAGATTGTGCGGGGCAATCTCCTTGTGATGAAACTCGCGGGACCGGCACAGACCTGAAATATGTAGAGTATGGTATATGCAGGAGAAGGTCGTGGAGGACTGAAGTAACAAGGTGTCCAAGTTGGATCGTTGAAACAGGCCCCCCCCTAATCGTGGGTGATGTCCGATCCTGGTGCTGACGGAAAGCACCCGGTTTGGGGCCGGAGGTTCGATCCCATTGCGTACGCATGAGGCAAAAATCGGTCGAAGGTCCGATCCCTATTCCGTACATAGCTGCCCGTCGCCAGCGAGGTTGTATCCTGCTGTGCGTACGGATGGACCGAGTGGTGGGGTCAGGACCCATGTGGGTGCGACTGCGACGTGGTCGTTGACACAAATGAAGCCCGCCCCCGACCCCTCATTATCAGCATGTTCCTCTGGTCGATTGCATGCATGCTCCTTGTATCGCGCAGCCCTACTGCTATTTCGTTTCAATATAAGTTGTGCTCACGACCTGCGCCGCTTTCGAAGTCCGATCAGCTTGTGCGTACGGATCCCTTGAATCCTAAGGTCCGATAGTTGTATGTCCACGAAAGGGATGACGTGAAGGCTTGTATCCATAATGCGTACGGATGAGGCGAAAACGCTGATCTTCGATCCATATTGCTGACGGAAGCGCCCAAAATGGGTTCGTACGGAAGTGCCCAAAATGGCCGATTTTGGATCGGACATCAGCCGCGACTAGGGGGGGCCTGTTGAAACGCGCCGCCTCCTGTGTCCTGGTTAGGGTTAATGTCATGAGTGATGACACAGAGGTTGTAAGATCGCCGCGGCGTGGCCGCCTGTGATGAACGACGACGACCTCGTTCCTCCTTTTCACGCTGCATCATCGATACTGGTTGTAACCGTCTGCGATGCGTGGGCTTGGCGAAGCTCTACTTGAACGCCTTCAATCTCTAGGCCTGTGCTCGCGCGGCTTCTTTGAATTCAGTTTGGGAAAATGCAATGTTGTTTGTACGGCTTCCGCACGAGGGTTCTATGGTACCACGTCATGTCTGAGAGTCAAGCTCCAGCTCTCCGCACATACACAACAGTTAGAGGCCGTCGGAGTACTGACGCGTACCACCGAGTGTGTAGGAGGTGCTCGTCGAAGATATGCAAAGCGCGTCATAATCGATTTGTAGCCATCATGTGTCTGCCGACGGAGCCGTACGCCAACCTGCACTGGAGTCAAGCTGGGCTGCGTTGCTAGGGCAACATCAGACAATAGACGAATAGGCGAACTCGTTGCCAGCACGATATAAAGCCATGGTCTCATGGTTACCGAGATCTCATCCCCAGGGCACGTATCCTCTCAACGCCCCCGTACAACGCATACACTCGGCGATGGAGATTCCTGAAGTCAAGATTTTCAACTTCGTCCACGAGTACGTGTGCCATATTCTGCTTCAGATCCGACAAACACTGACGTGCAACGTCTGGTACTGCGTCTCAGTGTGTATCCTTTGATCGACCCCAAGCCACACTTCACATCGCAGACCTACGAGGATAAGGTTGTCATCATCACTGGCGGTTCCAAGGG